ACTAATACATTATACAAAATTACGAGTTTTTGCGATATTTTCAACACAATATACTTGTACCTTTTTTTTATAGGGCTTCAAGATATTTTGCCTGTCATGCATAAACACGGTGTATTTTCTTGAAACTGACGTGCTGTCCGTTTTACAAACAAGTTATGTTTTCTGCTTCTTCATCCTCTGAATTTTCCTCCCCCGTCCCTCTTCCTTCACCCCTCACAACAACAATCAAGGTGGATCTGTGAAATGAAACACCTCTTCCCAAAGCGTGACTTCCCTATTGAGGGCATGCGTCTAGGGCAGTAGGGTCTAAATCGATTGGCCAGATATACTAACATGCTGAACGTACGGTATGTTTGAAAAAAGACTAACCATTTATCCAGTTCAAGCTGTCTTTAAGATGTGACATCGCGCACTGACTATTTCCCGTAAAATCGTGACAAACTATTACTTATTCTTAAATTTGATCTCTTGCTGCATGGTTGAAAATGATAGATGAAAAATAACTTTTTTTAAAAGAGTCAAGTTTTTCAAGATCAGATACAGGTCAAGAAAATGCATAGAGGAGGTATGGTGCTGGCTCATTAGCCCTCTCCCTCTTCTTAGAATGATCCTGTGCACTTATAGTTAATAAAAGTAATTACACATTAGTTCACAAATCCATACAACTAAAAGAGAATATCCTTAGGTATCACTATTAAAACCTAAATAAGATCTTTTGAAAATAACCTCTTTGCAAACAGATACTTCTTGTAGTTAACAGTTTCACAACAACTTGAAAAGAAACATCCTTAGCCAGCACACATCATTTAAAACAAACCCTGAATCAAATCTAGAGAGGACAATAACGTTTTTAGATGTCTTGTTGAGTGAAAATTAATGGCTGTTTTTATTTAATTTGAGTTTATTTCTTTTTTAAAAAAACTAACTTCATCCCTCTCTTCTCATCTCACAGAGAGTGTCTTAATTAACATAGGCATTTACACCCCAGGCTTATCTCAACCCCCACATCAAGGGGGGGCTCCAACGTGTGTGTGTGTGTGTGTGTGTGTGTGTGTGTGTGTGTGTGTGTGTGTGTGTGTGTGTGTGTGTGTGAATTGTTCTTAAAGGTAAGGGTTAGATCATTTGGAGAAAAGTGAGAGTCTTTTGCAGTCAAACCGGGGAAAATCTGCCACTTCCTCACAGAGCCCCTCCTCCAACACACATGAACGCGCGCATGACCAAAAGAGGGCACGAGATACATTTGTGCACAGACTGTAGGCGTCTGACCCCCGCACTGCTGCTGCATTCGTTTCTTGACTGACGCTACGGACGGATGGCTGTAAATTGTCACAGGCTGATTAACCCCCATTCGAGGCGTCTCTTGCCATTTTTCTTTTTTGAAAAGGTGACTGGGTAAATGGAATTGCTGTCTTGTTATTTCGTTTGAGCGTATTTCTACCTAATTCCACCCCCCACTATTTGTTGCGTCATAGCCCCGGAAGGGGTAGAAAAGGGGGGAGGCTGGGAGGGGGGCTGGGTAGACAGTCTCACACATAACTTCAAAGAGGCACCTAGATTAACATCAAAGGTTTATAGCACACCAGTGTGAAGTCACACCGGCCTGTTATAACACTTCACATCAAAGGGCAAACACCAAAGGCTAATTAGATTAGACATCATAATTAGATTAGACTTCATAATTAGATTAGACAACAAAAGGGCTCTGAGGGGGGCCTACAATACAGCTTCAAAGAGACTTAATCAACACATCAAAGAATTAGACAACAAAGGCGCTAGCCCGGGGGCTTTTCACATAACACACATCAAAAGGATCTCGAACAAAGGCGCTACACAGGGGGGCATTTCACCCCTAGGGGGTGATGACCCCTCACCCTCACATCAAAGGATCGCGAACAATGGGAGGCGGGACTTAGCTCATTTGCATAATTGGGGGCGTGTCCACCTGTCACTTTTTATGCATACTAATTAGACAAAAGCGGCATGTGTACTACTACTCGTAGTATGCTTGAAATAGTGGCTCTGGAGCAGCCTTCCTCGACATTGAGAAACACCCACAGAGACGAGACAAGAAGAGAGAAACAGGGTGTTTCTCAATCGCGAGGATACTGGCTTGGTAGTCGCGTACTTCCAAGTCACTTCCTTCAGAAACGAAGCAAGTATACTTCCAAGCCACGGCTTCGGAAAACGAAGAAGACTGGAACAGGCTAACAAGTGTGCCACTCTCTCTAACGGTTTCAACATAAACTGTACCGAAAGTAAATACCTCACGATGTCTATCTAATTATGAACTTGCTTTACTTTCACGGAACACATTTTTGGTGATAACAAATGTAACAAAGTAACATATTTACATGTTCTACGCCACTACATTTAAATGTGTGCTGCGTCGGTTCAGCCATTCTCCGCAAGAGTTTTTGAAATTGGTCCGTGCGCAAAGCATTGTGTGGATTTTAAGGACACAAAGTCTACCCATGTGCAGCCTCGACATTTCCCCCAAACCAAGGACGCGGCCTCGGTGGAATTCCAAGTATGCTGGAGATTGGAACGGTCCTTCTGCGCCACTTGATGACGTAGCATCCTTGAAATATTGACTTGGAAGCCAGTATCCTCGAGATTGAGAAACGGCCAGAGTCGGAGTAGTTTCAAATGGCGTGCTCAAAAAAGAGAAAGGTAGACCGCAAAAACAGAGCATTTAATTTGTCTCTTACTGGACCTCTTTGAAATGCAATTGAATACCCCTGCATTATAGCAACAACAACAATAATAATAGCAATAATAACTGGGAGGGGGGGGGGGCGCGGCTGTTCTTATGTTCTCTGAGGGGAGGCTCACCTTCTCACAATTTGAAAACCCCTCCTTTAGTGTATTGATTAGAGGCAATATGAGAAGGGTCTCCCATCTCATATTGTCCCCAAGTCTTTCTGCTATTGTTGTCATCCCGCTCGGTCACGTATTCTGCCGAATACCTCATGCCCTGTATGATATTTGCTGTGTTACTTTGAATTCATCCATCCACTGTTCATCAACTTTTCATTTTATATTTTTAGTTCAGTAGTTTTTCTTGGTAGTAAAAAACTTCTCATGTTTAAAGCCTCGGTTCACAGAGTCAAATCACAACTTCGGATTATGACACCTTATTAATTGATTGCTCTATGATAATTTGGTAGTGCAAATACATTTAAGTTTAAGGTAAAGTTTGAGTTTCAATAGCCAAGGTTATCTTATTAACTAATAATTAATTGTATCCTTCAACGGGTAATATGCCACAATAGTCAAACATTCCTAATATCTGCTTTCCTGCAGCTTTAATTCACAGACTCCAGCCTTGATGGCAGCATTATTAACAACCGTCACGTTAAGAGCAAAGCATGCTGGACCCAAGTACAGGACACATGATATCTTGGCAGAAAAATGCTTTAAATAGTAATCAATCCAGCAGAAAATAGCAGGGTAAGGAAATTACAATGAACAAAAATCTGATCAAAACAGAAAACCAGAACCTAAACTATGCAAGAGTAATCACAAGGACGAGACACAGCTGGGGAAAACACATCAGGTGAACACAATCAGCTAATCAAACAGGCGGGAAAACAGAGACAGGAAGTGAAGACTTTTCAAAATAAAACAGGAAACAAGACAGATCATGACACCCTGCCAGTGAGTGTGAGATAAACATGACTGCAGAAGTACTTTGTACTGAGTTTTGCTCACTGTCTTTTCATATACCTGTATAACAGATATGTGGGATTGTGGATATACGTATCATTGGCAAAACGTACTTTATTTCAAGACAAATAGAACCATAGGAAAAGGGACCACATTACTCCTGTTCTGGCTGCCTTACACTGGCTCCCTATAGAACACAGGATAGAATTTAAAATTCTTCTTCTTGCCTACAAAGCCCTTAATGGGCAGGTGCCATCTTATCTTAAATAACTCATTATACCCTACTGTCCTACTAGGGCATTGCGTTCCAAGAATGCAGGGTTGTTGGTTGTTCCTAGAGTCTCTAAAAGTACAATGAGAGCCAGAGCCTTTTCTTATCAAGCTCCACATTTGTGGAATCAGCTTCCAGTTTGTGTTCGGGCAGCAGACACCCTATCCGTTTTTAAGAGTGCGCTTAAGACCTTCCTTTTTGATAAAGCTTATAGTTAGGGCTGATTAGATTCAGCCCCTAGTTTTGCTGATATAGGCTTAGTTCATCTTACTTCTTCCTTCTCTCTGTCTATACCTGTGTACTCTCATGTTCCGATTAACCCAGCTTCCCCAAATGTCTTTCTCTTTGGTGTCTATATACGCCGGGATCCGGAGTCATGGATGATCCTGCGGTCCTGTGTCCTGGATCGCGAACCCTGGATCTTGAGTCGTGGCTGTGGTCCTGGATCATAGGTCCTGGATGGATATCCTCGTGGATTCATCTTCCTATTATACACACATGCATTTCCAAATATTTGGACTACCTATGTTGTAAATGTATTATCTTTTCAATTTACACACAGCATCTATTGCACGTCTGTCCGTCCTGGGAGAGGGATCCCTCCTCTGTTGCTCTCCCTGAGGTTTCTCCCATTTTTCCCTTTAAACTGTGGGTTTTCTCTGGAAGTTTTTCCTTGTACGATGTGAGGGTCTAAGGACAGAGGGTGTCGTATTGTCATACTGATATTTTGTACAAACTGTAAAGTCCACTGAGACAAATGTAACATTTGTGATATTGGGCTATATAAATAAACATTGATTGATTGATTGATTGATAGCGATCAAAACACATTGAAGACAAATTCACTTTTACCAAATGTTACATGATATCTCATCAAGAATGTAGGCTGTATATAATATGCAACAGAAAGAGCAAATGGACTACATGACAGCATTTCATATCTGGGGCAAGCAGGAAAAGAGAGCAGGGACATTCAAACATCAAACATTTTTGTTAATTTGTATTTCCTTTTTGTTGGCATTACTCTACTTTATCATGAAATTATACGAGTTGGAGCCGAAAATGTACACCTTCACTTTTAATTACAAGACACCTGAAGCATGAATCAGTAACTTAACAATACAAATGAAACAGAGAAATTCAAGAAAACCATTCAACAGTAGACGGAAAGCCACATTTCCGTCTACTGAATACAGCATTTTACTGTACTGTACATCTTAGGACTTATATACAAGCTGTACAATTCCACTGTTCTCAGAGGAAGAGAGAGTGTTGGTCACTTCAACACGACGCGGTATCCATCCGTGGTTTCATCTGGGAGACAGAAAGCAATCCGGTAAACGATCATTAAAAACTCAACTGGTCCAGCTACACAGGGTGTATAGGGAATGTCTGTTGATGAACAGTGCATTGTGGAATCAGAGGTTAACTTTGATAAATGATTACCTCTTAGAGTGCTGAGGATGAAGCTTGTTTCCTCCCTGAAGTTCTGCACCATCTGAAACACACAGATTCACCCATGTCAACAGATTATATCCATTCCCAAAGTGCTGCTTATCACAAGTGAGGACATTGTGTGATTTATTATCATCTATAAATCCAAATTCTCCTGTACATTCAGGCTTTTAAATATCATAATTAGCTTCTGCTAACCTGTTAATGGCAGTGCCAAATGGTCAGCTTTAGATAAAGACTTTAGGGAGAGTTTAGGATAGCCTTAATTGGCTGTCAACACTCTTTTATTGAGTGGTCAAATGAAAGATAATGGTTCAAGATTCAATGATTCAAGATTCAATTTCAAATGGATTCCTCTCTGAAGAACTCAACAGGATTAACTATAAGGGCAACGACAATCACAATATATCTGAATTTATGACAAAATGACATGCAATTTCGGTAAGACTCATCACTGAGGTTAAAGAAATTCCCCCCCTGTTTGGCAAGAGCAATATCAACAAGGGATGTAATCTTGTTCAGGATAAGTGTTTCCTTATTATGATAATCAGCCCTACGGAGCATACAGCACTTACAGGACAAAGCTGTACATGTTGGTGCCACTCTTCATTATTTTAATCATTATAGTCATGGGTCATTCAAGGAGGACCTTTAGACATCAACACTTTTGAAAAATGAACCCTTTCTTTTCAAATGTTCTTTTATGTATTAGAGAAAAACTGGTGTGAAAGGTACACTTTTTATTAGATGTTTTATTTGTTGCTTTTTAACAGCGCTCAATGGTGGGCTGGAACTCTGAAATCAATTTGAGCAGGCCGGGCTCTCAAACAGAGCTCTTTGGTGAACGAGTCAAACATGTGAAGAGTTAGGGGGAGTTGATATGAGACGTAAGGATACCTCGTCAGAGACTAGGACGTGGATCCCGCTGGGTTTCTGTCTGTAGATGTGTGTAATCTGCTGCGGGGGGAAGCTGTACAGCATAGCGATCTTTTCAGAGAGGTCCATCAGCGTCAGCTCCTCCAGGTACAGAGCGTGGTAGACTGCAGGGAACACAGGAGGGAACACATCAACCTGCTTCATGTACACCAGAACACTACATTTCATTGTGAAGACATCATTGCAGACTGTGTGACAATAGGCCTCTTTCTTGGCTGAGAAATTGTGTTTTTGTTGCAATGAGAAATGTAACAAAAGTGTATAACTCTCGTAATCCATTATTTAGTTATGTTTTTTAATTGTTTTAATCAATTACAAAAACATCACAGTGAAATGCAAACTTCCATAAGATCACTTATTAATAACTATGACTTGTTACATGGAGGGAAAAATGCCTGACATTTGCAATAAGTGAACATAATGAGGGTCTTTAGAGGGGAGACTGTGTCTGTACTGCACAGCTGCCGTAAACTAAGCTATCCAATGACGGTTGAGTCAATGTATCCAAATGGTGAGCGTACCGTAGGTTAAACGCCTTCTGGACACCAACATTAACGCAAGGGGTTTTCATTTTTGGTGACAAAAAGTACTTTTCTCAGTAGGTTACTCTGTAACGGTACAAAGGCAGTAATGTTGCTGTGAAACAAGTTGCTTTTAAAATGAACACTACCTAACACTGATGATTAATTTCTCTTAAGAAACACTTCTCTACGGTGGCTGACAGATGCAAACACGCTACAACTGCCTAAGCTAAACATTTCCATTAGGAGAAATGTCCAAAACTATGTAATGTATCTGCCAAAACACAACGGAAGCAGGGACACTAAAAGGTGAGGCATACAGCTGGGCCCGGAGCACTTGGTGACGTTCAGGGTTATAAAGTTGGACAACTGTCTCTGTTGCAGAGTTAGTCTGTTTCATAACTATAACAAAATAAATGTACAGCAGATCTGCAGCAACATGGGAGGGAGTCATGTGATCACAATGTTCAAATAAACCCATAAAACATTTTAGGTAAGTTTCCAGTGACAGTTGGACAACTTTATAATCCTGAACGTCAGCAAGCGCTCCGGTCCCAGCTGTGTGCGTCACTTTCTAGTTTCTCTGTGTTTTGAGCTTCTTGCAGCTTTGTTCTTCTCCCAGCGTTTTGTGTTTGCAGCACTTTTAGTAAACCCTGCGCATGTTTCCTCCAGTTGGTGAAGATGTTTCTTCATTTGCATGAGTTTTGGCACATTTGTAGGGGGTTATTTGCATTGTTTTTGAAACCGTAGCACACTTCTCCTAATGTAATGTTTGGCCGTTGTAGCGTGTTTGCACCTGTCGGCCGCTGTACTTCTCCTTATTCCATGATAGTCCTTTAAAGTGGTTTTACACACGTACTAAAATACGTGTGTAAATATTCAACATCATTTATAGAGAACAGAGGACACTGTATGGCACTTACTGTCTCCAGCCCCCGGCTTTACGGCAGGTCTGGCCTGCTGCTGACACACATACATGGTGAGACGGGGCTGAATGCACCTGGGAAGGTGAGCAGAGCTGTAGTATGGAACTGGGTAAGACACACAACAGCCTGACTTCATGTGTGCCCTCCTTTCTACTCACTAACACTGACTTACATGCAGGTACATTTCTGTTTATCAAAGTTATCTTACTATATCTGTATTCATTATTGACATACTGCTGATAACTACTAACAAGACTTCTGAAACATGACTGCTTTATTAAGGCAATCACGAAAATCTAAAATAAATATATTAAAAAACACTGGTTTAATCTTTGCCAGTGCATGGTACAGTATAACAGTGTGTTCAATCAGTTGGATTTTAGTTTAGGGTCAGAAGAGGATGTTCACTGAGTTTTACTAAAAACATTAACCTGCAGTGGTGTGAAGTACCAAAGTACATTTACTCAAGTACTATACTTAAGTACAATTGTGAGAGACTTGCACTTTACTTGCATATTCAAATATTTTCATATCTTGTACTTCTACCCCACAATTCACAGGTAAATAGTGTACTTTTACTCCACTACATATATTTTATATAAATAAAATGTATTTGAAAATTCAAGTTTGATCCTGAACTTTTGAAAATAGAATTCAAACTAAAACTAAGTATTTGAAAAGTTGTTTCAGGTTTCATTTATTTAGATTCTGTTTAGCAATTTTTGGGAATGAATAATATTTACTCATATTTCAGTTTTATATATATTTTGATATTTGAGTCCTGCTTGATCAGTTCATCCGAATGTATGCTTTCAGATTGAGAGACTGTTTGAATGCATTGTTGTATTTTTCGTACATTTTCAAAACATTACATTTTTCCGAATGATGGAAACTGTTGGCCCAGATTTAGCTCCATGTATTTTATTGTCTCACCTTCCTTTCATGGTGTTGAAGAGGCGGATCCCATCAGCTGGACCGCAGATCTGGACCAGATCCTCCCTGCTCATCCTCAACAGATCTGCACCTGCAACAACAGCAGAAGATCCACTCTGCTTCCTACCTGTTCAAAATATTCATGGATTCCTTTCATATACTTTTTTATGTTTGAGTCGCTCGGCTGTGTGCTTGCTTTCTCAAAACAGTGATGATTGTTGTGCCGTTACCTGTGAAGCTGCAGAAGAGCCTGCAGAAAGGGGAGAACCTGTGTCTCTGCAGCCACTGCTGCGTGTCCTGCGGCGAGGAAGAGGGCAGGAGCTGCTACATGTCAAAAAGAAGAAGAGCCCTTGAAATGAGTCTCCAAATAATGGCCTAAAAGGGATAAGAGAGCAACATTAACACTTTCACTGCACCGCTCTCCCTTACTTACATCGGAGCAGGCGGGCATTAGCAGCTCCCCTGGCTGGGTTGGAGAACAGTTGCTACAGAAACATCCACACAGGAAGAAAAGAGATTAAGGTGATCAGCTGAGTGTCTGTCTGTCCATTTCTAAGTGTCTACTTTTATCTCTCCACACACTGAAGAAGTTCAGTGATAGGAACTCCTGGTAAGCACCCATAGAGGGAGCTGTTAGCTCCATATGTTAGCATGACACTACTCTAGATCTCTGAAACCACAAACAAAGCTACTGAAACACAAAGTAGATAATACATTTTTACATTTTGGTCTTTCTTTAAAGTCCCATCTCATGCTTTTCCGGTTATTACCCGTCCCCTTGTGTGTTATGAAGGTTGTAATGCATGTAAATGGTCTGCAGAGTCAAAACCCCTCAAAGTACACCCTGTAGGGAGTAAGACTCTAACACAGAAAATACCTCCCCAAAACACCTCGTTGGAGATTTCTCATTTACTTCCATCGCTACGTAGGAATGGCCAGTAGCCACGCCCAGAGCTATGGCCGCACCCTCTGCCAGCCTTTCACGAAACAAAGCTTCCCAAACCTTTCAGCGATGCATGCCGGATATGTAATAATAATAATAATTCCTTACATTTATTATAGCGCTTTTCCAGATGCTCAAAGCGCTTTTACAAATACACATTACACATATCATACATGCAATGGTCACCACTGTGGACAATACCCACAGGAGCAAGTTCAGGTGAAGTGTCTTGCCCAAGGACACAACGGCTTTACAGACACAGCGGCGGCGGGTACAGCGTAGGGCACTGAAGAACGATGCTGTTCCTACTTTGTTTGGACCAGCGGGAGTTCGGGTACACAACCTGGAAGTATCCATTGTTGATTGTGTATTTATGATGTTTAAAACAAACAAGGTATCTACCACGACTGTTTAAATGGGTAAACGTTTTTCGGGCTACTACGTTGGGATCGTGGAGAAATGCTCTCCGCAGACCCGTGCTCACAGCGTTATAAACCTTTTTCTTACTCAATATCAAGCCACACTTATAGCTCCAACAAGCCGTTTAGGGCAGAGAGTGAATACCGGTGAATACACATACTTTACAGAGACGCTGTGTGAGAAACCAATGTGAGTTTGGAAAATTGCACAATATAAATCTATTCTAGTATACCTCAACAATGGAATTATGATCAGTAGAAATGGCCATGACATGGGACCTTTAAGATTAGATGTACAGTTTTCAGAGCTCGATTTATTAGCTGTATGTACACCCTAGGGCTGTAGCGATACACTAATCTCACGATACGATACACGATATTCAGCCAACGATACGATATATATCACGATATTCAGCCAACGATACGATTCGATACGATTCGATATAATTCGATACACTTATATCGTTTTCTGAAAGATTTTAAAGGGACAGTGTGATTTTGGTGACATCTTGTGAGTGTTCCATTGACTTGGATTGAATTAATTCAACTGAAAACTGAAAGCATCAATTATACAATATATGGCTCTGACAGAGAGTCTACAGCTTGCAAATGCTGGACAAAATGAATCAAAATATGTGGTGAGAAAATGTGTTTCATTTATTGAAACAGTGCAAACTGTAGCTTACAAGCCTTTGAAACATAAGTACATAAAGTGCAGTATCACAATGGACAATGGAGAATTAAAAGGTGCTGCAGGTGGTGGAACACAGGGGATTTGAATGGGACTTGTTAGAAATTAAAATCAATGTTTTGATGACATAAAGTACCTTAAACATACCGTCAGTTTAAATGCTGTTTTATACTGAAAAACCAGAAGTTCTTGTGCACAACCAGTTGTTAAGCTTTTATTCTGAAAATCCTTCATCTCCGGTTAGCATTTAGCATGTGGCTAATATACCATTTACTATAGAGGTGAAATTAGTAGCGATATGACACGTAGTGTTGCACACCGAAACCTACTGATTTCAACACTACAACTATAGACGTCGAGATATTATTATTGCTGAATATTAAATGAAGGTAGTTTATTTGAATACGTTTGTTTACAGACGTGGGTAGCATGAGACAACATCCGGAAATGATACCAGAAGTGAGGTATTTTTGGAGTATTGATTACAGCGTTTTAAAATGTATTAAATGAAAAGTCATGAGAGAGATAAGGAGGAGAAAAGGCGTGTTTAGTTATATATTTAATGTACAATGTCTGAATCCTCTGTAATGCGCAACAACGAACATTGGAGACGTGGAGGGCCGGCCCCCAGCAGCGCCAACCGGCCCACAGGGAGGAGCCAGCAGAGGATATTTAACAGCTGGAAAGATGGAGCTCGCTCTCTTCCCTTCTCTCATGAGAGCCAGAACACAGCTGTTTTTCTGACTGAACCATCTTCTGCTTGTAACATTACCGCGCTTTTTATTAATTAAAGTATACATTTGAACCTTCTCAGAGACTCAATTAGTCTCCCTTTTAAAGCTTCTCTCCTGGACGCGAGAATAACGAACACAGTTATCAGACTTAATGTATCGATACCCGTGGCTGAAATATCGATACTTTCTCGGAAAACTAAATATCGATATATATCGCAGGATCGATTAAATTGCACAGCCCTAGTACACCCACATGGTATCATTGGGCGATAATGCTGACTCACCCATCTGTGAAGGTGCAGGAGGTGGGGGAGCTGTGGTAGACTGGAGATGGAGTGCTGCTGCTGTGGATGCTGAGGTTCAGAGCGTCAGGCCAGGGGGAACACTGAGAGAGACACAGCAGATACATCTCAGGACGAACACTGCATGAGTAAACCAAAACCAAATATTTAGAAATCCCTATTTCATTACAACAATGGATCAAATGACTTTGTGTAAGGTAATCGGTGTTGCATGCAGTCAACCTACGAAGGATTAGCATTGAACCCCGTGAGCTATGAAGCCTTTAGTCTGTGTTGCCCTATTTGTTGTTGTTCTAGGCTCAAAACTCTTCTCATCTACTTCATTTCCAACACACAGAAGCTTCGATAAACCACAGCAGAGTAGCTGCACAGCTGCACATGCAGACTGAGTTCAAAGGGCAAAATGTAAATGCAAAAATATTTCTCTAGTGAGTAGGTGGAGCCCAACACTTCTTTTTGTGTCCTTACATTACCATCTTCAATGAATACGACATGTCAGTGTTTTGTTCTTAGCTTACCCTGCACCCAAAATATATTAAAAATACAGCTTTACAATAAAAAAATAAATATGCAAAAAACATTTTGACAACTTTTACAATCTGTATTTATAATAATAAATATGTTTGGGTTGTGCAATATTTTGGTTAATTGTAAATCTAAACAATGGCTGCTTGTTTATCAAAGCATGAATAATCGTAAAGAGAGAGAGAGAGAGAGAGAGAGAGAGAGAGAGAGAGAGAGAGAGAGAGAGAGAGAGAGAGAGAGAGAGAGAGAGAGAGAGAGAGAGAGAGAGAGAGAGAGAGAGAATAGATAATAATGAATGAAAATCATATGGCTGGTAACCTTTACCAAATGAAATGTATTAAAGACTTGAACTTAAAGGCTTTTAGATTTGAACACTGTAATGAGTTCAGTAATAGATCTAAGTGGTTGTTTCAGCACTGTCCTTCAGGGACCTCTCTGGAGTCACACACATTATTGTTTCCCCGCTTCAGCTCTGATCAGGTTTGTCTGTCTGCGAGATGAATGACAAACCACATTAACACAGAGTTAAGTGCTGAGTCACTGTTCAGACACTAAAGTGATGCAACCAATGATTGACAGAGCCACTGAGGTGTGAGATGACTGTAGGCTTCAGTGCTGCTGAGATTAGATAACACATGAATTCAGATCAATAAAGTTACAGCACTACAATGAAAGCAAACAAAGGCTCCTCTCTGGTATGGAATGTGTCCGGAGACAGGGGGGGGGGGGCTCACCTCTTTGAGCACAGTGCTCTCATGAGACAGTTGGTACTTCTCTCTGTCCTGCAGCGCCTTCTTATCAATCTTCTCCCTGTCGGTCTTCAGCTTGCGATCAGCTCCTTTAGGCTTACAAACATAAAGATGGAAGTGTAAACACCTGACACAATGTGCAAAAACTAAAATAATTCAGTCATCTTTGGGTGTGCATGTTATAGACTATGAATGCAGGCGTTAAGAGAGCAGTAAGGATGCCAGGAAATGTTTTATATTTGTTACTTATTCAGTCTCCCTTTGTAACGCTCAAACCAGAGTTAGTGATTGATAGAAAAGTGGAAAGACTAACGAACAAGTTCCTGATGAGTTTGGTTTCACAAGGTTATTCTCAATTCAGCCTGTTTTGAGGAGAGCATACTAATGTATGTTTTTTACATTAATACATTATAAACAGGGTTGGTTGAGTTACTTAATGGGTATATTCGGTTACAGTTACTAGTAAAAATAATCAAAAGTATCACATTATAAAAAGTATGTAATCTGAACCTTCTGTTACTTTTGGATTACCTTAATATCAAATGCAATGCAAATAAATATAAGAGAAAATAAATATCAATAAGATGTTTTTTATTTAAGTGTAATATATAAGACAAATGAACAATGAGACCTTAGGGTAGAAGAAACCAAGATATTTAGGATCAGAAATGTGTGCTCTTTAAAACGGCCCTCACAGAATAGTAGATTACAAATGCTGTTTCAGTTACATTAATTAAGAGCAAACACTTTATTGTTGTTTAATAAATCAGGTGTTCAACTCCTGCATTAAAATAAAAGGCAGTATATATATATACTTTTTTTCTTGTCTACTTTGTAGATTAATACTGAAGACATCAAAACTATGAAAGAACACATATGGAATGATCTAGTTGACAAATAAGTGTTAAAAAATCCAGAATATGATTTATATTTTAGATTCTTCAAAGTAGCCCCTTTTGCCTTGATGACAGCTTTGCACAGTCTTGGCTTCTCTCAGTCAGCTTCATGAGGTCGTCACCTGGAATGGTTTTCAATTAACACGTGTGCCTTGTCAAGAGTCAATTTATGGAATAACTTGCCTTCTTAATGTGTTTGAGACCATCAGTTGTGTTGTGCAGAGGTAGGGTTAGGCGGTGTTTACACGAGAACGAAACGGGTTGTATCTGCTACTTTCCTCTCGCGTATAGCCCGTTCGCTCACACGAGGCAGAAACAGACCCCGCAAACGATAACGGGTCCCAAGGTGGATAGATCTGCAAACGGAACGCTCTGGGGGCAAACGGCTCCGTGTGTACGCCCTATACCAGGGGTCGGCAACAGGCGGACCGCGATCCGGACGCCGACCTATACGGACCCGGACCTATAATCAATACATTAATAGGGGATTTCAATTTTGACGGGGCGATTATATTTTAACCGCCGCCGACAGGGGGCGAAAGAGACGAGTGAGCAATACAGGGAGAGAAACACAGAAGAAGAGATGAGAGAGCGGCAGAGAGAAGCGGAGAGGAAAGTAAGGCCCAATCCCAAACCACTCCCTCGACCCTACCCCTCCGTGACGGAGTGAACTCCGTCTGTAGCCACAGCTCAACGAGGCTCCCTCCTGTCAGATGGAGAGAGTAAATACAGCAGCAAGCTTTGGGACGGCCTCCCCTCTCTCCGGCAGAAACAGGAAGTGCCGTAACTGTATGTAACAACGGTTTCAAATCAGCATCTCTTAGACAAAAAGTTTAAATGAATAACTCAAATAAAACTCCAAACATCTTTCATTGTGTTACTTTTTTGTAAAGCTCTTTTAGTTTTAAACCTGATGTTTATAAGCTTCTTAGTTTTTGCAACAGTCTGTAAATATACACAACTTTATAATATAATGCACTAGGGGTGTAACGGTATCCGTATTCGTCCCGTACCGTCACGGTTCGGACGTCACGGTTCGGCACACGCAGTCACACGACGAATACGCCTTTTTTTACGAGTGGGAAAAAAGTCTGTCATTCAGGGCAGTATCCACTACACTATATATAATCCAGGGGGCGGTATTGCGCCTAAAAGCTGTTTGCCAGCCGCCCTTAAACAACAAATGAAGAACAAGAAGAAACACAACAACAAAACGAACAAAATACAAGAAGAAGAAAAGTTAGTATGGCGATTTCAGATAACACACAGGAGCTAGCACCCACCTGCTTCTTTTACATCAGCTGTGTGGGAACATTTCGGGTTCCCTGTGGACTACAATAACGATGGAGTGTACGAGTGGTGGATCGGACGAGGACGGTGTGTCGCCGTTGTTCTACAGTGGTGCGCTATGCTAATGGTAACACACGGCAAACATGCTAAATCATATCAGAAGGCATCAGCCAGATTTGCCAATCACCGGAGCCCGGCAAAAGACAACAGCAGTTCAGCAGCTGATCCCCGCTGTCTTTAAGAAGCCAAGAGACATGAAAGCCGAGAGACCAAAATAAATAACGGAAGCTTTTGGCATATGTTTTTCAACGACTTTGCGCTCTTGAAACACTTTCTTATTATTTAGGATGTAATATTTTCAAGACATTCTTTTTAGTTTTACAGCTTAATGAAACCTTTTTGTTTGACATCAGCCATTATAGATAATATGGCCATCTGAGTGTTTGTGGTTTGTTTTTAACTGTTTAATACAGTTAATTATTCAAAATGTTAGAATTCTTTATTTTTAAACTGAAACTTGCACCACTGTTCAAACATAAATAACAACAAACCTGGAATTATGCATTTGGGACTTTTTTTTGCTTTTTCTTGTTGTACCGAACCGTACCGAACCGTGACCCCCGAACCGAGGTATGAACCGAACCGTGACTTCTGTGAACCGTTACACCCCTATAATGCACACATTTACCTTTTTCTAGACTAAACACAGGTATGATCCTAAGTTAAAAACATATGAGGTTATTAACATCGTAGTTTATCAGTGGATGTTTTCTGGAACTACTTGTAAACAGCTTGTTTCCTGACGGACACACACAGCGTGACTCCGGTCAGGTAGAGACCGGTCTCAAGTCAGCACCGCTGCAGACTCGCTGTTTGAGGGCTTGATAGCCCACTCCCCCTCCACACTCGTTGCTTTGGAACAGCCCTCAATATGGCGGACCCTCCGCGTGAACGCGCAAACGGAGGGGTAGGGTGTAGGGGGCGGTTTGGGAATGGGCCACAGTGAAGAGAAGAGCGATACAGGGAGAGAAGCGGAGAGGAGAGTGAGTGAAGAGAATAATTAGCGATACAGGGAGAGAAGACGGAGAGGAGAGTGAACAGGCGTGTTAGCGGCAGACAGGGAGAGACAAATAATGACACATGGCGCTCTCCAAGAAGAGGAAAGGGGACAGTGAGAACAGAGCTTTTAACCCTGAGTGGACTCATTCATGTTCATCCTGCCCACTGGGAGCACAGTGTGTCTCATTTGTTCAGAGACCGTGGCGCTCATTAAAAGAGACAACACGCCACTATGAGACAAAACACAAAGTGTTTGACCAAACATTCCCTCTCAAGTCAGAACTGAGGTCACAACAAATAAGCAGTCTCAGAGCCCAATATGATCAGTCCACCAGGATCAAAATAAAACGAAATATGGTTCCAGCGCAGGCTAACCGAGGCTAACCAATGAGCACCTACATGTGTGTATGAGAATGACCCTGACACCATCTCAGCCCAGATTTAAACTCCTGGCAGGACAATAAGCTCCAGCTCAATTCTCGCACTGAATTAAAAAAAAGTGAGTGAGGGACTGCAATATAAGAGGGAAAGAAAGAGAAACTTTAAAACTGTTCAATTGTTATGATGTGTAAAGACTGATATTGTTCTATAATCAATGCAGACATTGATAAAGCTGCAGGCTACTTCAATATATATCACACTAATTCATAAAGCTAGTTAGACATATTGATGTTCCGGACCTTTGCATGGGGACATTTTCTCTAACTGGACCTCGTTGAATTTTAGTCGAATACCCCTGCCCTATACGATAATTTCCTGATAACGATGAAGCCATAGCCCCACCTCTGCTGCTCACTGCTGTAGCACTGCTACTGCTACTGACCATGCTACATATGTTAGTGCAAAATCTACAGCTCCTCTACCACAACCATCAGCAACAAGTGGATATGGAGAATTACATGAACTACATGTTGCTAAATCTACCGTGGGGCATAAACAGAAGGGCAACCATGCTCGGGGGTCTTCTTCACTGCTTTTGGTGTATTTTGTGGCAGAAGTACAGCGCCACTTACAGGCCCGGAATATGTACTACAGCGTCTCCAGCGCTTACGAGCGGTCTTGTGTGGAAGTACAGCGCCACTTACAGGCCCGGCATATGTACTACAGCGTTTCCAGTGGTCTCGTGTGAACGGACACGTTGAATGAGCCGAATGCGTGTGAACGGAAGACTTTTTTGATAACGAATTCGGTCCGTTTGCGCTCCCATGTAAATGGGGTCTTAGTGCACAGTGGAAAGCCCTATTTGACTGCTGTTGTAATCCATATTATGGCAAGAACCACTCAACTCAGTAAAGAGAAACGACCGTCCATCATCACTTTAAGAAATGAAGGCCAGTCGATCCGGAAAATGTCAAGAACTTTAAATGTATCCTCAAGTGCAGTCGCAAATACCATCGAAAGCTATGATGAGACTGGCTCTCATGAGGACCCCCCGGGAAAGGAAGAGCAAGAGTTACCTCTGCTGCAGAGGATCAATACATCAATACCAGCCTCAGAAAGCACACATTAAAGCACCTCAGATTAGAGCCCACATAAATGATCACAGAGCTCAAGTAGCAGACAATCTCAACATCCACTGTTCAGAGGAGACTGCGTGAATCAGGCCTTCATGGTCCAATTGCTGCAAAGGTCCACTACTGAGGATGAACAAGAAGAAGAAGAGAATTGTTTGGGCCAAGAAACACAAGGATTGGACATTAGAAAGTAGAAATATGTACTTTGGTCTGGTGAGTCCAAATTTGAGATTTTTGGTTCCAACCTCCGTGTCTTTGTGAGACGCAGAAAAGGTGAGCGGATGGTTTCTGCATGAGTGGTTCCCACATGAAGCATGGAGGAGGAGGTGTGATGGTGTGGGGGGGGCTTTGCTGCTGACACTGTTGGTGATGTATTCAGAATTCAAGGCACACTTAACCAGCATGGCTACCACAGCATTCTGCAGGTAGCCAGCAAAATATAAAGTATATTCTGGATTTTTAACACTTTTTTGTTTACTAGATAATTCCATATGTGTTCTTTTATAGTTATGATGTCTTCAGTATAAATCTACAATGTAGAAAACATTTAAATAAATAAAAAACTTCGAATTTGAAGGTGTGTCCAAACTTTTGACTGGTACTGTATATATTTTTATTTGGTATTGTATCATTGTAATCCAGCTATAAACCCCAATTTATTTATTTTTTACTAGTAACCTGGTAATGCATTTTTTTCATGTAACTGCCAGGGAACAGTTACTGTTATTTTGGATCCTGATTACGAGATTCCGTTGGATGTAATCCGTAATTGTCAACAGAGTGGTGCAGGAAGGAGTCCTAAACCCGGAAGACAACTTAGTATTTTGCCTCTTTTGGTTCCCTGCTACTTTATGTGTGATTAAATAGACGACTAAACATCATCACACCGAACTTTAGCCGCCATTCGCTTAGCGGTGGTGTTACGCAGCCATGCGATGTGATTTTATACTTATGGTGTTTGCTTAACGCTTCAAAAAGTGGTGTTAATATGTGGAGATTATCCTGCTGAACCAAACGGGTTAAATATCATGACTGTGTGTTTGCCACAACATTTATTTTCTGCATTATACCAAATGCAATGGAAAAATCCCATTGCTTTTTGTAGAGAGAGCCTTTGTGATGCTAACTTCCAGGTCAGCCTCCACCACACGTCTTCACTGCTTCACTCTATTCCCTGATCATGTCATGTATTTTATTTTCTGTCTGTGTACTTTAAAACTGATATCATTATTGCAGAGTCATATGTACACAAAGACTGCAGACTGACACCTTTCCCTCTGAGCCAGGTGTTGGTGGTTTTCTCTTAAAGGGGCTACAGATTGTTTTAAGATATATTTATGATGCACTACCTGGCCCAGTTATTAAAAAAGCAGAACATAACTTGGTACAAGACACACGCAGGTTTCATACCTTGAAGACTTTAACCTGGCAGCTGGAAGAACTGACATGCTCCATGTACTCCCCGTGCTCATTGGTGCTGAAAGAGTCCACCTGGATACGAAACGGCACTCCCTTCTCCCCACCGTGCTTCCTGGGGGTGAACTCAGTGCTGATGCAGTTGACCTGAGAAGATGCAAGACGACAACAGACGGAGTGTCAGTTCGTGAGCAGGCTTTGGAATGAAATGGGATTAATCAGGAAACTAAAAAAGCAAGTGTTTTTGTAAACTCCACTATTCTGTAGGTCTAGCCTAAATTTAAGAGAACATGTTTTTTATCCTAAATATCTTGGTTTCTTCTTTTCTAAGCTCACATTTTTCTGTTGTCTTACATAATACACTAAAGTAAAAAACATCTTAATGGGAAAATAATCAGGTTAAACTAGTAATTTTGTAACTAGATACTCCTGTGTGTGCGAAATGTATTACACACTCCTCCAGACGCTGAATCTGTACCTGGATGAAAGCAGAAGCCTTCTTCACAGGGTCCCAGAGGAACTCGATGGTGTTCAGATGCATGGGGTGTGAACGGGGCTCCAGAATCCCCTCTGACAACGGGATATCTGCAAATCATCAGTCAGTCAGTTTGCAATTATTATAAAGCCCGAAAACACATTGTGAAAATGAGCTTGTAGCTATGAGCGAAGGAGTCCTGACTGAGTTTTCTGTTGGGACATCTTCAGTTATTTCTCTTTACATATTCATATCTAAGTTGGCATGTCTTTGTTGGAAAAAGGTGATGTCACACTCTTACATGAACAATATAACAATATAAGTAACAATATATGAATGAAAAATGTCTGTTTGAACCGTATCACCAGGTGAGAAAATGAGCGTGTATGATAACTGATTTACAGTAGGTGAAGCTGATAAATGCAGGGATAACTGCTGAGTCATATGTTCAGGAATAAATGCTGATAGCAACCTTCCCACAAAAATGTAAATCCTGTTTTTAGTGGGTGTTTGGTCCAGTGGAAGAAGTGTCATTATTTCGCTCTGGTTCAAACAGCACTGTGATCAGTGATCTTTGACCTACTCACAGTCCACTCACCTATATCCAGGATCCGGTCTCCAGGTCGGTTCCACCTCCACCCCTCTAGCTGCTGGTGCTCCATATACTGCAGCCGGCGGTCGTGGAACACCACCCGCACGATGCTCTGTGGACAGATCCGGAGTTCAGAGCGGAGAACAGAAACATCTGGAGGGGGCAGCTCGCACATGGCCAAACAGCTGGACTGTTGGGCAACGTGCCAAAGGCTCCCCTCCTCATTGAAATATACTGAGGCAGGTTAAGGAGGAGCAAATGACTCAAATGTCTGCATGTGATGCAGCACCAACAAAGACTCTTAAATCAGGGCTCCCACACACAACGCAACTTAGGATCATCAAAAAGCGTCTGTACAAATGTTTGAGGTGTGAAATAGTCAGAATCTTATGAACTTATGCCCCGGCCACACGAGGACGAAAACGGTCGTTTGCGTTACTGTTTAGTGTCATATAGACCGTTCGGCCACACGAGGACGACCGAATACGGCACTAAACGACTGCGTAAACGATAACGGGTCCCAAGGTGGATAGAACGGCATACGCAACGCTCTGGGGGGTCCAACGGCTCCGTGTGTGCGCCCTATACGATCATTTTCTGATAATGATGAGGCAATAGCCCCGCCTCTCCCCACCTCTGCTGCTCACCCCCGCGTCAAAGTAAACTGCACACTGAATTCAGATTATTTATCTTTCTCTCAATATGGATATAAACGCGAGTGAAGTCTAATCTGACAGGACGGGACACGCAGCTCCTCCCGCTGTGATGCGGCGGTGAACGGAGTAAAACACACACTTCAAGTCCGATCATCACCCTTAGCTATTTTAATTACCTCTCAAACTACCTAAACTAGATATAAATATGTTTATTTTTACTGTCGACCGGGTCACTCATTACTGGATCAGCTGCTGCATGAAACAGACACTGACGCTGTCCGAAGAGAGGGAGGAAAAAGAGAGGCTCCGTGTATTTTATTATTATATTATATAGAGTCGTTATTCATTTGTTTTAAAGCTCAATAAATAACAAAGAAGACCTTTGACCGGCACTTTTATAATTTTGTCGGAAGATTTAAACTTTATTACACGTTGACTGGCGAAAAACTCTGCCCGGTTCCCTCGGCCCCCACCGCGGAGAATAAACAGAAGGGCAACCATGACAACCATGCTTCTTCGCTGCTTTTGTGGAGGAAGTTACAGCGCCACGTACAGGCTCCTGCATATGTACTGCAGCTTCTCCAGCGGTTGGAGCTAAACGGAGCGGTCTCGTGTGGACAGACACTATCCGGATGACTATTGCGTGTGGACGGAAGCTTGTTTGCGATTGCGTTTGCGTTAATCCTATGCGTTTAGCCGTTTTCGTCCTCGTGTGGCCGGGGTCTTAAAAATGATTGTCGAATTAAAAAGAGTGTTTGGTTCTATAGGTCAATTTCCAATTCACAATCTTCAAGTGGTGTGGGAACCCTAACCAAAGAACGTCTCTCAGTGGACGGCATGTGCTGCAGAGCCCTCAACTTCTGTTACTAACTGTGTGCTGGCTATCTAGCATATCGGTCAACATATCAGACAAAACACAAATAAGAGAAGGGTCTCTTTAAAAGGGGCACTCTACCAGTTCTGGTTTAGTTGGCTCGTCTCCAGGAGTAGTTATTAAAAGAATAAGTCCCTGATGGTGTAACCTTTCAACAGGAAGCGTTTGTTACAAACATGTTGGCAAGTGAGTCTAACAAAGGGTGCTATCCAGTTGCATTAGGGGAAATGTAGGATTTGTGACAATTTCATTCATTTTGAATGATATCAGCCCATTAAAAAAGGTTTGTTGGTAACTTATGTTAAAGTATGTTTAGTAAATAAGGGGAAATGTTGGCGGTATTATACATATACATGAAGAGTGGTCTCCTGTGTAAATGTCCTGTGTGTGTTCGACCCATCCACCCTGACATCTGTGCTCTCCCTCTGTTTAGTGGCCCATCTTCTTCCTTAAATCCTGTTATTGTTATTTCTGCCATTAGACGCCATTAGAGGTCACTAGCTAACAAAGTTGAACCCCCTGTGGTGATCCAGCTTACCAAGAATTGACAACAGCCTACTGAGCCAATAAGGAGTTAGTTACCACCTTAAATCTCTGGTCTGATGACAACCGATAAAGTCCATTTAACGGGCTGATAACATTCCAAGCATGTGACCAATTCTGTGGGCTGAACACGGGCCTCTGCTGCTTTTCTCACCATTCAACAGAGCTGCTTTATGAAAGCACTGTGGAGTGCCTCTTTAAAGCAACCTTGTGAAGTCTGCCAGCACATCAAATAAATCAACAAATTCAATTAACTACCTGCAACAACATGGGGATATTTCAGGCCTGACTGAGCAGCGCGTCATGTGTTTGCAGAGATGCCACCTGTCCCATTCCTGTGTTTCTAGGATGCTACCGCTAACTTTACAGTCTCAAGCTAACGCAGCCGGACCACAGAGACATGTCAAGTGGATGCACTCACACAGAAAGGAAATAAAATGAGCTCTCCTTACTCTGAAGTGAGTGTGTGGACAAATGCCCTAAAACATCTGAAATCTAGTCACAACCTGTGTACAAAACAACGTTGCATGGCAGAAATAATGCTGCTAATGGGTTTGATTCAGAAGACATGGCATCAGGAATACAACATTATATTTTTTTATTTCCATTAAAAAAACATCCAGAAGTAAAATTGGTTTAAAGATGCCGAAGTCTTTCTGAAAACAATCCCAGTGATGCAGACAAAAGCAGATTGGCATGTTCATAAGGAGAGTGTACGGTAAAGGAGTGAAGGTCAGAGGAGTTGTGTGTTCGTGAGGGTTTGTTAAATCTAGGAAGGAGGAAAGGTACGTTTGGGTGATGGTACCAAGCTCATCGAGGTGGACAGTCCACCCCTGAAGTGGAAGGGAGGTTCAGGGACCTGTGACAAACTAGGAAATGGCTACATAAAAAGAGACAGGAGCAGAAAGAGGTCATGTGTAGGTCAAAAAAAGACAAACACAATACCTTACACCTACCTTTACATATTTGCAGCTTATATCTGTATACTCCACTAGTTTTCTGTTAAGCATACGGATTTCGTAGGACTGACCTACATTTTAAAACATTAAAAAAAAACCTGATTAAAATTGAAAATTGAGAAATCAGTCAATCAGAAAAGAAGGGCAGTGGAGATAGAAATTAAATCAAATTAGATATCAAGGCCAGCCACTGGACAACCTTTAACCATCTGATCAAATATGAAACTAAGTATTATAATAAAAATATCATTTAAATAACACTAAGACTATGAATGCTTTTAAGGCATAGTATAAATACTGATTATTAGTAGCAGCAGTTACTGTGTTTCAAACCAAATGACTGTACAGCAGATATGCAGGGCACACGTGTAGATGAATAAAGCACAAATCAAATGTCTCATTCAGAGCGCAGTGAGGTCGGAGCACATGTTGGCAAGAAAAGACAAAAGAAAGAGCAACAGAAAAAAGAAGGGGAATTAGTTTAGAGGAAGACAGCAGACACATGTAGGAGCTCATGTTGCATCAGATCCATCATTCATAGGGTATGATTTCATATCTTTCAAATCTCTCTACCATGAAAACAGCAGGTTGGTTAATCATTGTCATTTATGTTATTATGTTATTACACTATATTCCATTGTTATATTCTAGGACAGCAGTCTATGTGTGTTTAACAACTGTCTTCTAAAAACAGAAAACTATGGAGGAAATACAATAGTTTGATAAAACTGAATCTATAACATTGAGAGGTTTACTTTCAAATATGTCCTTCTTTGTGAGTTACATTTCCCGTTCTGAAATTTCCCCCAAAAAAAAGAATCTAATTTCAAAAACGTTGACAAATGTTGACGTTTTTAACGGAACACACTTTCAAATCAGCCTCTATAAGCATCTGGCCCTGGGAACATTTCCCCCCACCCATTTAGCCAACTAGCATCATAACATTGGTTTGATTTATCAATAGAATATGTGTTCCAGATCTAAATGTAACCACAGATTGTAATTTGTAATTCATAAATCATCTCGGAGTAAAAATAACATATATCCTCTAGCTTCTCAAACATGACATTACATTTGTGTGGTTTGACATTAAAGGTGGGGTAGGTAAGTTTGAGAAACCGGCTCGAGATACACTTGTTGTTATATTCCATGGAATGCTCTTAACGTCCCGATAGCAATGAATATCTGAAGTGCTTTGACAACAAATCCATAAAAAAATGTCATCTGTGGAAGCCGTGGTACTGTAAAAAGCACGACCAATCATCTGAGCCGGCTAAACTAACTGGATGGCCTACCTGCCTGTCAGCCTTCCATCTGTGCACAAACTTATCTCGTGCCCTCATTGGTCATGTGCGCGTTCCTGTGTGTTGGAGGAGGGGCTCTGTGAGGAAGTGGCAGATTTGTTCCGGCTGTGTATTTTCAAATTCTAGAGCACTCCAGCTGGTTTCTCCAAAATTACCTACCCCACCTTTAAATACAATATCTGAAAGTTTAAATGTTGGCCAGACAAAACAGGCTTTTACTTCATAAAAATAAAATAAATATAATGGCGTTAAAGCATTGTTCTGTTTGCCTTGTTGAGTCTCTGCACACTCTACGGGGGCCGCAGGGTGCCAAACTTGGGGTATAAATATACATTTGTGATAAATTGATAAAGATTTAGCCCAACCCCAAGGCACAATGGATTTGGAATCCTGCGTCAGCGTTAATGTAAGCCTGGTACTGCTGCAGGGAACATGTGACAAAATGAGCTCCATTCAGTCAACGTGGACCTTCACCCGCGGCGCAGATAGCTACCTTGGTTGAGATAAGTGAGGGTCTCCTCCTGCTGCTTCACAGCCGGAGAGGTGGCCGCACACAGGACCACCTGCAGCGGGCTCCTCTTACACACACTCTCAGCCGTGAGCCTCGCTTCTTCATCTTTCAAGAACGGTGCCAGGGCATCTCTGAAAGAGCAGAGACAAGAAGAGGGGCTGAGGACGGGAGGTCACCATCCGTTCTCGCTTTATCTAATCGTTTAAGCATAGAAACAAAGGTTAAAACACAATGTTACTCATCTGGTTCAAGTCAAGAGGTTTGGGGAAAAAGTCCATTTCATCTATGTTTGTTGTCTTAATATTGATTTTGAATGCAATGTTCCATTAAAGGAGATCATTGTATAAAAACATTTAGATGACATTGTTTTTCGAATTTCACATGGCAGTTTAATTGGAAAAATATTAAAATACTTTAAGGAAAAAATGCTGCCGATGTCCAAATGTGTTGTAAGCACGCTGCTTTGCATTGACACGTTGATTAACCTCGTAAATCAAATGTTTCCCAGTGGAATCCAGATGTTTCTAAAGTTTCATGTGCTTTACCTAATGTAACTAGCAGAGTGCTGGTGGTAGGACTCGGGCTGCGGGTGGCAGAACAGCATATCCTCCAGGACGGTGTCTTCTGGTGTCCCGGGTCACAGCGGGGGGGGTGGAGGCAGACGGCTTCCTCAGGGCTCCGCTCAGAGAGGTTTGCAGCCAGACCTCAGCGCCTCCTCTTATATGGTCCCTGTGATGTCATCAGTACTCCCACTCTCTCTGCAGCTTGGATGACCTTAGAGAGGCGGAGTGTGCAGCACCCCTCCCTCCCTCCCTCCCTCCCAATGTTTAGTGGGTTGATGCATTAAGAGCAGCGTCACCTGACCAGCTGTTGACACGGCCAGCAGCTCCCAGGGTGTTTCTCAATCGCGAGGATGCTGATCACTTCCTTCAGAAACGAAGCAAGTACACTTCCAAGCCACAGCTTCGGAAAACGAAGAAGAATGGAACAGGCTAACAAGTGTGCCACTCTCTCTAACGGTGTCAACATAAACTGTACCGAAAGTAAATACCTCACGATGTCTATGTAATTATGAACTTGCTTTACTTTCACGGAACACATGTTTGGTGATAACAAACAATGTAACAAAGTAACATATTTACCAACACATGTTCTACGCCACTACATACTTACATTTAAATGTGTGCTGCGTCGGTTCAGACATTCCCCTCAAGGGTTTTTGAAATTGGTCCGTGCGCAAAGCATTGTGGGGATATTAAGGACGCCAAGTCTACCCATGTGGAGCCTCGAAATTTCCCCCAAACCAAGGACGCGGCCTCGGTGGAATTCCAAGTATGCTGGAGATTGGAACAGTCCTTCGGCGGCACTCGATGACGTAGCATCCTTGAAATATTGGCTTGGAAGCCAGAATCCTCGAGATTGAGAAACGGCCCCAGTCTACTCACAGTAATGATGTCTGGACTCTGGAGGACAAGTTTGGAAAACAAACATGGAGGCGGCTGAAGGATTCTGGGGAACAGAGAAGGGCAAGTACGTACCCTCCAAATAATATCACACCAACAAATAATAGTTAGTATACTGTATATAAAATAATAGCAATAGTGGATGGATGCTAAATGAAACTGTTCAATCCCTCTGTGCAGGGGAACTATTCAGATATTGTAGAACAGTAAAATAATAATACCACACTGTGGAAATGTTACAAGTATGTGAGTTTCATCAGGAAAATTGGTTTGTGGATTCACTCATAACAAAACTACTTTTTAATAAACTAATCATATTTTGTGTGTAAAAATAATCCAGTGTCACACATAGTGCAGAAATAAGTGCAATATTTACCTTTAAGATGTAGTGAAGTAAAAGGATAAAGGAGCATTTAAAAACACCATCCTTCAGTTTATCACAAACATCTGGAGATACATGATGCCATGGTGCATCAGCGCACACAGGAAGGGGAGGAGCAACTGCATTTGAATAGCGTAATTGAAGCTGACTGATACATGTCTCGGATGATGACAGGATGTGTGAAAGTATAGTTTCATAACATGGACATACTCAAGTTAAGTACCTTGATCACATACTTTAGTTGAGTACTTTTGTTTAGTTACATTCCCCCACTGATATGCATGCTTCACTGGACCATGTGCTCCCAGCTGCAGCCTGCTCTCAGAGCTGATCTCAGGTCAGCTGACTCTACTGGTTAATGTGCAGCCCCTGCACACCCAGACAGCGCCCCCTGTGGACGCTGAGGTTCAAGCTGCCGGCAGGAGAAACAAGAATACTTACGACATGCTCTGAAGATTAAACTGTGCTGATCATTCTGGGAGGAAGAAGCAGAAACACATCCAGATCACTTCTTCGTTGGTTTATTTCTAGAGAAAACCATTTCTTTACATTGTTGCAAACCTATCACAGGTGGAAGTAAACAAAAAAAAACCTTCTGTACAGTTTATCATGAGAGAACAAAATAAAATATAAATACAGGTCTGAATATTACATGAGCGACTGAGACAAAAGAAAGACAGTGTACAGGAGAACATGCATAGTGAACAGCTGTTTCTATAGCAGTAATGGGATTACATATGCTCCCCTGAAGATCGGTTAACGCTCCCCTCATGCCATGTGTGCATCTGCTTCAATTGGCTTCAAGATCAGACAGATTGAGAGGAGTCAGGAGGAGGGAATAAGGTAGAGTAGAGAGGCATGTTACAGTGTACAGGGCCAACACCATCTTCAGCACCACCACTTCCAATGCTGCTTATTATAACACATACGTCTGTACATTCATTTACTTAAATAACCACGGTTGGCCCACTCGCAGTGGATTCCCTGAATGAAACACCACTCAAATAAAACAGTGAGTCACAAGCCGTCCATCCAAGGACTCGGTCATTTGCTCAAACTGGAGAACAGAATTGAAAAGGCATAATGAGTCTGATCCCTTCCTACCGTAGAGTATCACGGTGAACCAATAATCGAACATCTGATCAGATGGAGGAAACCTTTCCTGATCAGGGATCCATGGCTAGACTCGGAGCAACATCCAACATTTGAAAGCTTCCTCAATCTTATCAGAAACAAAAAGAGGTGTGACTTCCACCAACTTAAATACACAGAACACATGGTTTATGTGTGTACCTTTGACATACATGTGGCTGATGTGTGGGACCACCTCCTCTGCTCATACAGTCATCAGAGAGGAGTCACCTGATGATGTCACAAGTGCACTTTAACAGCCAATAACCCGGGCCCTTTAAAACAGCATGTTGGCATGAGCTGCAGGCTACATGCAGGGTGTTTTCGCCAGCGTGCAAAAAGGTGATAGTCAACCTGTTTTTTCTTTGACATTATGTAAAACTTTGCGAAGCAGTGGTCCAAAAGTGTATGTACAAAATACTGTTATTAGTGGATTCAGAGTTATTGCAGAAGCTGTGTGGGGAAACTAATACTGTATTTGCCCGGTCACAGGTCAAACCGGGTCCCGCAGATTCACATATTTTAGAGAGCCAAGGGTTACAGTGCTGTAAGTCCACTTACATGAGTGTGGAGTGAATAAGGCCTGGAAAAGTCTTATTGGTCTCCCATCACTCGTCTGCCCGCTGGAAACATCTGCAGCATTTACAGCAGGACCTCCTCCTCACCAGTCTCTGCTGAGCAGCAACCTCACAGATGTACAGGTAAGAAGCCACACACTGGAGTGGTGAAAGCGTGTTTAACAAAACTGTTCAACAAAAGGAGTGCAGAAGGTTCTGTGGGAGAATACGGGCAGCACAGCTTCACAACACGTCTTCTGCTGAGTGTGAATTGCAAGACAAATTCAACTTGAATTGTGCAGTTAAACAGTTGAATCTTCACTATATTTGAAGGATTGTCAATGATTTAGCTGGAAGGGTTATCTTTCCTGCTACCTTGTTGAGTGTAGCTAATGTTTTTGGGAAAGGGGGTTCAATTGATTTAGCCACTTAATTAAAAATAAGCTTTAAATAAAGATCATAATTGATTAAACAGGAACAAAAAAATGCTCATACAGTACGCTTTCTGTAAAGGTTTAGATTTGTTGTCTTCATTTTTTTTTTAAGCTCCCTAAACCAAAACCCATCCCAAAACATACGGGGCTTATTACCATCACTGGGCCAGCCAAATGACATTACATCCCTAACTGCAGTCTATCTGACACAGGTTCCGAATGTCTCCCGGCCTCTGCTATGAACTCTTTAATGAGAACCTAATGTGAGAGCTGGAGGAAAACAGGCTTCAACAGGAAAAGGGAGGATGAAAAGAAAGAGAAACATTTTCTATTTTCCAAAAGAGACTGTCAACTGTTGTTTCCCTCCCCGTCAATCTAAAACCAATCCACAGTTACATTCAAAAGTTTCTAGAGCAAAATCAGGGAGGAGGAACTGAAGGACTGGTTGCTGACAGGACGTCCTGTGAGCTGTTGTGAGGAGGGGGGGTCCTTCTGTCCACTAGCTGTGGGAGGACACGTCCGAGGAGCTGCTGCTGTTGCTGTTGGTGGTCTGCGCTCGCTTGATGTACAGGTTCAGTAACTTCATCTGGAGACAAGATAAGAGACGGTCAGTACTGTGGAAATGTATCTTTTAGGCCTCAGTTCTTTGTACACTTGTTTTTGGCTCACTAGCTGCGATGTCTATTGTCAGGCAAAGTACGGAGGTTACCTGTTAGAATGAACATGTCTTGTGTCCCTTGGTTTCCCGCTCCTGTATAAAGGACTTGTGTGTTCTGTGTGATTTGGTCAGATGCTGTAGCACTAGCTGCTGCTAACATCTGGCCTTCCAGCTGGATATAGATCCTTTCTGTTAAATGCTTTAACTCTTCACAACTCTGGTTACAACTTGTACATTTGTCTATTTCTCAACAGTAGGTGATTCATTCTGGAATTTCAACCACAGTCATCTTCCCTAAGTATAGCACACATATAACAACAAAGAAAATAACATCTCTGCTGTGCACTTATATGCAATATGTATATATACTGCTTTACAATAATAATAATAATAATTATTATTATTATTATTGCTGGCTGCTATCTCTTAGTTAGACAATTCACCTGCTGTAATAAATCAGTAAATAACTGTAGTATACTTCCACTTGTAATAGTGCCATCACACTTGAGTTATTTAGCAGGGACAGTGCACATTAATAAACCTTTCTGTAAATGTGCCAGTTAGCCAAGATGCTATTTTTCATCTGTATTCGCTGGACAGATGTTGATAGTCACCCTAACAAATTATTTCATTGAAAATGACAAGTTAATACAATCAGTAAAAACATACAATACGGTAAATACTAATAAAAAACAATAAAACAAAACATAGATATTACATAGCAAGAAGACAACAACAGGCTGACAGAGGGTTGTAGAGTGCAGCAGGTCTGCACACATGCAGTTGACCGTAGGATAAGAAAGTGTCGGAGGTGAGGCCAGGGATGATCTCGTGCAGAAGGCAAGCACGTGCATGTGTGAAGATGTTTTTGCAGGTCAACAAGTTGTCTTTTTGAAGCATTGGGCAGTGATGACAATGTACAGATTTCTTGTCTAGTTTTTTAAGGTTTGTATACATGCTACACTTTTCTCCTTCTTTTTAAATACTGTTGCTGGTACGTTTTGTTGATCATCTGGATGTGTATTTTGGAAATTGACATTTGTGTTATTTCAAATGTTTTCTTCAATATTTGATGCATGCCTCTTGATTAATCATTTGCTTTTTGGCTCTTCACTTTTGCTGTAATAATGTAAATGTCCCCTCTGTGGGACGAATAAAGGTCTCCTGATTGTGATGGCAGAACCCCTCATGCATCGACACCACAGGCTGTGAGCACATCAATTTAGAAACATTCTTTATGTATACACCATTATGTCCATCAGTGATTCCCAACCTGGGGTCAGGAACAACACAGAGTCAACGGATTCATGTGAGGAAAGCAGAAACAATAGTACAAAATGTATCCTCATTTTACAGACATGTTTTCTTTGTAAATTAGAGGATTCAAATAAAATAGTAAGGAATCACTCTTTGTTACAATGGATAGTCATATTTTGGAGATTTTAGGAGGACATGGCATTGCTTTGTGGTGTGACAAGACACACATCGGAGTCCACTGCTGTACTTGACATACTGCCATGGCTGTTCCATTGTGGAAGTATCGGAGTGGATCTTAGAATACAGGAAGTGATAAAAGCTGCAGAAGATGCCTTATGTTACACCAGTCGATTCAATTTGTATGAAATGTTCATTTTTCCTCGGGGTCGGCAGTGTCTCCTTTGCCTCTCCTGTTCCTCTGCAATATTGCATTTTACTGAATTGCACCTCCACAGATTTTGATGTGGAGGATCTATCCCTGATCTTTTTATTGGAAGCTGGACTGAATAAGTGACAGAACCGCAGAATGTTCTTCATTATGAGTTAAGGGTTTTACACCTGTAGGAAGGTAATATGAAGCTCAGCGCAAGATCTATCCTTTCATTCAATAAGTATGGGCGTATCCCTTAGATTAACCAATCAGACCCGCCTCATCTCCCACAAGCCAATCACCGAGCATCCGGCAAACTTTAAATCTGCTCATTGCCCCGTGAGCTGTCATTTCAGCCCCCCTCCAGCCCGTTCACCTCCCGTTCATCACATCCAGGACCCTCATCACTTCCAGCTCCACCACCACCAGTGTCTGGACCCCGGGGGGGATCACCTTTCCTAGTTGGTTTCTCCTTCCACCTGAATCCATCACATCACAATTAGGGCTGTGCATCTTCACTGGTCTCACGATTTGATTACGATTATCCTGTCAACGATTCCATTCAATTCGATATCCCGATGCATCACGATTCATACCAATGCGTTGCATCCTCAATTTTCTATATTACTGCACATGGCTTATTTTTCATCAATGCATACATGCAGTAAATACATATGAACTCTCTTTTTATTATTTAGAAAGTGCTTCAGAAATCAATAACATAAATGTCTTGACATTAATTTATAAACCATAATAAATGAATTGTATAGGTCTAGCCTCCCTATATCTGTGTGTGAAGTTGTTCCATCCTCAAAAACAATGCTTCTGCAGTCTAGCTGCAGCTCAACGGTCTTCTGTTAAAAAAAGGACATCACACACAGGACTTGAGTCTGAACACAGCAGACAACAGGAGTATTTACAACAGCATATAACAACTAAAATAGTGCATGTGGGTGCACACTTACATTCTCTGTCTTACTATTACATAAATCCCATGAATGTATGAGATTAAGTTAGCTTCATTATATCTCAGTGATTAAGTGAATAATAAAGTTTCTATCGGGTCACTATCAGCCTGTCACTCATTATTTTCAGGGAGGGGGCGGGGCTTAGAGGAACGGAGAGGAGACGGTGATCGCGGAAGCTTTTTTCCTCCTGCCTTCACAAACTTTACATACTTTGCAATCCAAGACTTAATTAAATCCACCAAAAACCTGACATGATTGTAACCCTGATTCTGTTCCCTGATCTCTGCGTCACCGACCGATTTGATATTAAAGTGACAGAAAAAATAAACGTTATAGTAAAGCCGCGGCCGGAAAATCAGGAAGCAACGTTACTACGCTATAACCGATTATCTTCCGTCACTGCATCGATACCGAATCGTCCACATCGCAGAAACTTATTTTCAACACCCCTAATCACAATGGGGTCTAATCGCCAAAGACCATTTAGCTCGCCTCTTTTACACATGGCAATAAATATGTTTATCGCACCAAACTACTCGAAGTCTCTCCTGATTGAAATATTATCAGTAAAAAATTGTTGATCAGTATCAGTCAGGACATTTTACTACATCATTAGTCAAGTTAGTACTTAACTGTGTTTTTTACTTTCCTCATCAGGTTGAATGCTAATTTGTATACCTTTTCTGTAAAAATGATTACACTGCTGGGATAAGTATTTGTTTGCTGTAAGACTACATGCCAAAGTACAAGTAGAGAATGTGGCGGTGCTCCAGCCGTCCATACGGTGTGTGTCAGTCTCCTTTCAGATAAGCAGCGGTCCAACAGATATGAGGGGAGGGTCCCCCCATACAGGTGAACCTGACCCTCAGACCTCAACCCTTACATAACACATGTGTCCTTGTGTAAAGTAGGGCAAATAGGACCCTTTCTAAATTGGACAACCGGCCGAAAATTACTGAGAAATAACAGCATGGGAAGGTGATAAGACTCTGCATCTGCTGAAGAGGTTAAAAAGGTTGTGTGTGTGTGTGTACACGTGTGTATGGCACAGTCATTACCTTGCTGCCCGTGAGCAATGCCAGGTGGGGTTTGAGATCCTCTCCAATCACAGAGTAGATAGCCACCAGACAGAACACGCTGGCCTTGCGAACACTGCTCTCTGTGTTGTCATAGCCCTGCAAAGGAGAGAGGCAGCATCACACACACACACACACACACATCAGGGGTCAGCAGGAACATGGGAGGAGTCGCAGGAGTGTGCAGAGGACACGCAAACATTTCCAGGGACAAATAAGGCAAATAATTCCAGAGTCCAAATATGTACATTGTCCAAATAAGACCTTTGGGAGCTGACAAGAACGTTTCTACTCTGCCTTTCCCCCCAAAAACTCTTGGTTTTCTGTTATTTACTACAAATGTAACTCTTTTGTCTAGCTAACAATGTTTATTTAAGTTGGTTTAATTAGCTTTTCTTAAGCCCTCCTGTTGTGTCTGTTTCTCCCCTTACTTTGGTGTTCCCGCTCCAATTTGACCGGTCTGCTTTAACTGCTCTCACATGAACACAAAAAACATGAATCATCACCACATTTGATATAACTCCCTTTTGAGCTGTAAACAATGTCTCAGAATACTGGTGTACATTCAATTGAAACCCTGAATAAACAAAGAATAGACATTGAAAATGTATTCCAAAATGAACACGGTTGTAGATGTGTGTGTGTGTGTGTGTACTATCTGATGATGAACATAATCTAGGGTTACCCATTCAAACCCTATGGAGGTCATTTTTGACAGGGAACATCATAGGTGTTACAAAGTTGACTAAACCACTCAAAATTCAATTCAAGTGGTGATAAGAAATGTTATATGTTCAAATGCCCACTGTGGAGGATATCATTAGGCCTTGAAGCAATCAAATTGAAACACAATGTTTATGAATGATGGAAGTAGTAAACCGGTCAGATGTGACCCGAACACGACAGGAGGGTTGAAAGTGTATTTTTGTTTAGCATTTTTGTGAGTTTTATCCAATTAGTAAACATCAATTTCAGGGTTGTATGAGCATTAAATGTAATCTATTCCAAAATAAATTGTACAATCCAAACCTATGTTTCTTTAACACTAGAACCACCAACGGGTCAATTTTACCCGCAGCTGTTTTTTGATTGTATGTAACTTTTTTTTCAATAACATATTCAAGTCTCCCAGTCCGTGACTTTTCCTGAAAGTGTGTAATGTAGCACCCTCTGTTGTTAAAAGTTGTCAATATGAAGTCAGATTGAAAAAATTGCCAAAAATAATGCCCTTTATACCCATACCCGCCAGCGGGTAATATTTACATCTTAGAAAATGCAGCGTAAACATGACGTGTTGCTATAGCAACGCCTTTTGTATACTGCGGTTCTTTATAGATAGATTGATATATAGATAGTTATAGATATAGAGATAGATATATAGATAGATAGACAGATAGATATATAGATAGATATAGATAGATATATATATAGATATATAGATAGACAGATAGATAGATATATTAGATAGATAGTTATAGATAGATAGTTAGATAGGTAGATATATAGATAGAGATAGATATATAGATAGATAGTTATAGATAGATAGATAGTTATAGACAGATAGATAGATAGTTAGATAGATATATATATATATAGATAGTTATAGATATATATATATAGACAGATAGATAGATAGTTAGATATATATATATATAGATAGAGATATATATATATATATATAGATAGAGATATATATATATATATATAGATAGACAGATAGATTTGTACCTAAACAAAACACAAGTCTAACACCAAGCGTTTAAATTAGCACTGGTAGTGATATTTTATACTTCATGCTATCTGCACAAACTATATCCTATGAAAAGCTGAGAGTCCACAGATTCTATTGGTATAAGTTTTATCCCTGTGCGATCAAAACTCACTACTCTATATGATAAATAAAAGAACATTGTACCTTGCAAATCAATAGCGGTACATTTGACCCGTTGGTGGTTCTAGTGTTAAAAGCTGTGTCTGATCGAACATCTTGTAGGTTTTAAACTCAGACCTGCAGGAGTCCGGGGATGATGTCGGGCAGCAGCAGCAGCAAGGAGTCCTTGGCGATGCGTTCAATGACTTTGGTTTGCATCTTGATGGCAGCCAGGTTGATGGGGTAGTCGGCTGTCTGCACTATGGGGCACAGCACCTTGATGCACTGCTCCGGGTGGATGGAGCCGGCCAGGGTGGAGGCCGCCTCCTCGGCTGCTCGCACAACCTAAAGCACATCAACATGTACACATAGGATTATCAACAAAAATAAGCAGAACTTGTAACACCAGTTTGTGTATGTATTGGAGCAAGGTGAAAGCACAACTGCAGTAGGTTCAAAAGGTCATTCTGGGAAAGAAATCAACAAAGAGCTTTACTCTTTACATGGATCGATGGATGAGTTTCATTTGCTGTCAGACTTTGAGTACAGATTCTTTCTCCCAAACTGTGGATTCATATTGATCTGGAAGTTTTATGAAAGTGTTGTCTCACTGTTTATCCGGTGTATTGTGTGTTCCATGATCTGTGTTTACCCACTGTGTCCCCGCTTGTGTAGGAGGATCATTCTGAAGGTTCCTCCTGAGTGGTCCTGAGCTAAAGGCTAACTTATTGAGTTCAGCCGTTGTTATTGTTCTCTATCGATAATTAGATCATTAGTGAACCTCTAACAAAAATTGGCAGTATGAGCACTATATAAAACCTTTCAGAGTAAAATATTTGACACAATTGTAGGGTATTTTCCCACCTTTGAGTTTTTGTGGAAGTTTTATCAAGAAATATCTAAAAGAAAAGCTCATGTTCCATGTCTGCCAGATGTATAAGTGGGCAACAGTTTGGTGATTTGCCTTTCAGCCTGTTCTGCTGCCCCTAAGTGAAGAGGAACATCCTGTAATGCATCTTTAGGGCGATGTAGTGTACCTCCTTGTGAGAGTCCTTGTGAGCCTCCAGAGTTTTCATGATGGTAAGCTCAGCGTAGTTTTTAAAGCGCGCCGGCTGATTCCTCAGGATTTCTTTCAGCAAACGCAGAGCCAGGGCCCGGATGGTGTGCTGAGGGGAACAGAGGAAGGGTGATCGGTTCAATGGACAAATGTCCCTGCTGGATATCCATATGTGCCTACAATAAAGGACACCTATGACACCACTGTTGTGCAACAACAATTAGGTGCAATATCATCCTAGTTAATATTACTATAACTACTGGCTGCTACTTCTTCGTAGTCTATTCCAACAAGAATCTGTGTGTTATTATGTCAATATATAATTGTATCTACTACAGCAATCTAACCGCTACCACACAGTATCTTACTTTCCTATTTCCCCTGAATGTGTATGTCTGTAAATATGTTCCTTTTATTTGATTGAAATACCATGTGCATGCCTTTTGAACTAATAGTGTGTTATGTTTCGTCTCCATCTATACTTCTGTAACAATGTGAATGTCCCCTCTGTGGGACGAATAAAGGAATTCTCCTTCTGATTCAAAACCTAAATATCACGAGGTTCACAGCGTCAGGCTTATTGGTACATGTTAGGCTCAGAGGTAATCAATGCCCTCCACACACACATTCACACAGTCTGAGTGTGTGTGATCTCTACAGGAGCCACACACACGCAAAGCCGCTGAGTAACGCACGTCTTTATCCCCCAGCGTCTCCAGCAGCAGGAGCAGGATGGTTTTGAAGTGTTCGTCCCACACTGCCAGGTTGTCCTCTCGTGTGATCTTCAGCAGCTCCACCAGGGCGCCTTTACGCTCCTCAGAGCGCTCGTTGTGATTGGACAGTTCCTTAAGCAGGTCTGCCACCAGGTCCGAGTGGTCCTGACCGCCTGCTGCATCAGAGAGCATGAGGTAAACATTAATTACACATTCAATTGAGCATCAACAAATACATTACCCAACATTTCCCACTGAGGATACATTGAGTATTTCTGATTCTATGTATTTATCACTGTGCAATATTCATGTGTGTAGTAAAAAAGGGTAATATAATGTGTTCTGCAGGTTCAATTGTCTACATATATTAGATCTAGATATATAGTTAATGACTGAGAATATGCACTTCAAAAATAAGCTGGATACATCCGAACATCCGGTCCATTACAGAGAATGGGACAGCTGTGAATAGAAGCTTGATAGCTAGTTCTGCAGGACTCAGTGAACACACAGGTTCTATATGGAGTTAAGAGAAGTTAGGAGACCATCAAAATAAATGTTGATGTGAAATGATTGAATAATGCAATCACACACAGAGGGTGAGTGCAGTGAGTAGATGTCGGTCAGGTTTCAGGTGAGGCATGTTTACCAGGAGCAAAGACCTTGGGGAGCATCATCTTGTTTTCACCACTTTCCTGCCGTCGGCCTGGAGGAAGGATGGAGGTGAGGGACAGAGCAAAGAATGTGATGACCACAACAAAACCCACTGCAGCCCCTCTATTGTAAGACACTGTTACGTGCCGTAGTGTTTGTGTGGTCGTGTGTGTGTTTCTCTCTCTCTCCCTCTGACTCCCCAGGTGCAGACTGATTGTCCCCAGGTGCAGCCTCTCCCCAGGTGCTCCTAATTCCTAATCAGGGCCTCCATATAGGACCGGAGGAAGACTGCAGTGGTCTCTCCTTTTTTCCTCCTCTGGCTGCATGTGTGCAGACCTGTGTCTTGCCGACTGATAAGAGGGGAGCTCCGTGATATATATTGATGCTGTATTATTCTGTGCAAGTTGGCTGGTGAGCCTGTGTTCCTGTTGTGTTCATTAAACGACTTGTTCGTTACTCAGAGATCGGTTTTCTCTCCTTTTTGTCGTGCTTGGTCATCCTTGTGTGTTGTTACTTCCCTTTGTACCCCCTAGATTTAGAAGGGAACGTAACAGACACACACCAGTGTGTGTGGTGCACATAACACAGAGTTAGACCTGTTGTGTCAACGTTTAGCCACCTAATGGGTGAAAGTCAAAGCTGGCTACACAAACTAAAGCCAAACATGTGGTTGAGCTCATTCTTGTTGCATGTCTCAAATGTACAGTATGTAACAGAAGTTGAAGGGTGTCTTCCTCTATGTTGTCGACTAAATGATAAATACTGAATGATCAGTGTGAAAGACAGGAGAAAATGAATGAATGCTTTTAACAGAATAACAAAAAGAGAGAAATGTTTTCGGTTTGCTTCAGAGAGCTCAACATTTACAGTACTGGAAGAAATGTAATGCATTCATTGTAATAACACAACATCTCAGTGGTTCATGGGAAGACTTTTCAATATAGAAATGTGTTTAAGTGACAAGCAGGGTATGACTTAAATCTCCTTATTGCACCTCCGAGGGCGTGCAAGGGACACAATTTCAAAGTAAGAGAGCTTCTAACTCTTTGATTCTTCTTTACTGAATATCATAAGTACAGTATAGTACATTCTGATGTCCCATGATTTCTTTCTGCTGCAATAATGCCCTCCCTCCATGTAAACACTTTTATTGCCTCAACTCACAGTCGCGGAACTGCTCTACGTCATCGTCGAACACGGCCTCCTTCATGGCGCTCTTGTCATACGTGCAAATGGTTTCTCCGTAGCCATAAGGGGCGAACTCACGGCCCCGTGGCCCCGAAAAGGAGCGGGGCGACGGCGTGTTGAGCAAGGAAGTCTTGTTGTCTAAAGCGGTGCGACCTCCTTCCACCACGTCTAAACCGAGCCGAGCGTCAGAGCCAGGAGAGGACGCTACGCCCTCTCTTCCTGCCTGTAACACAGGGAGGGAGGGGGAGAATATGAGAAAGCATTCTGAAGATCTATGTGTACCTGCAGCTTTCAAAACATTTGATGTGGGCTGTTGCCTGAAAACCTGTATACAGAGGCCCAGTTTAGCTCGGGGTGGGACAGTACCCGGATCCTGCTGAGCTCACTGCAATCTGCTCATTTTGGTAAAGATTGTGAGGGTTCAGCAGTCTCCGTTAGTCATATCAATTTGGATTCAACCAAAGCTGAAAGCTTTATAGTCATTTTTACAGTAGGAGGAAGGATTCAGGAAAGTGCTGACTCACCGCGTCGTCCCTCTTGCCCTCCTGTCTGATTGGCTCGTTCAGGTCCTCCTGGCTCCGGTAGCTGAAGCTCTGGATGGCCTCAGTGACACCGCGCAGCGAGCTGTAGATCTCCTCAGAGTTCATGTTTTCAGTGTCGTACTCCATCATGCTACCAGACCCACACAGAGAAACACACACACGCTTTATTAGACATGTATTTCTGTTGAAGAAACACAAGCATGCATTTGTTTTGTCACCATGCAAAGTGCTGTTTTGAAAAAGTGATTCGTTTTTAGAAAGAAAAATATTGTGACCATTGTGTATTTTGAATTGTACATGTGCGTGTGGCGCAGTGGATTAGTGCCTTGGTGTTGGGATCAAGGGAGCACAGGTTCAAACCCCACTGCAGTCAGCATGTCGTTGTGTCCCTGAGACACTTCACCCCAAAGTGCTCCTGTGGGGATTGCCCACAGTATTGAGTATGTAAGTCGCTTTGGATAAAAGCGTCTAACAAGTGACATGTAATGTAATGTGCACACATCCTAGCATTAACCCCGCTTGAGAAGCAATGTAAATGATATTTTCATTTGATTAGTGATTATGGATTAATATGTATTCAGTGAGAAAATGAAAGGATCAGAGTCAGGCTTCTTGCTGTTGTGATGGCCTCTGTGTCTGAGCCCGCCTCTTTACCTGGGTGAATATGCTCTGCGGAGGACCCTTAGGGAGGGGGCAGCAGGGGTGGAGTGGGGCTGAGGAGGAGGAGGAGGAGGAGGAGGAGGGGCAGGGGGATGCTTTGACAGTCCGTCGCCACCCCAACCCCATAACCGACTGTTGCCACAGCAGCCGGGAGGGAAGGATGGACAGACAGGGGTGAGAGAGTGGGGCGAGGAAAATGGAAAGGAAGAACAGGTGGAGACAAGAGAAGGAAGGAGAAGGAGACAAACACGTGTGCAGAAAGAGAAAAGACAAAAAGAAACTAGTCTGAGCTTGTAGGTTGACTGAAAGTGTAGATTTAAAAGGAGAGAACTGGAAGGTAGCAGAATCGCACAACATTTCAGCGAGGGGGCACTTTTCAATTCAAAATATTATTTCAACATGACATTCATTTCAGGATTAACTAAAGTTATTAAAACCAGGAAATGATGTTGACACATCATCTGTGTTCATGGGTTTCTGCTAGCAGGTACAAACACTCGGGCAGAGGGGTTAAGACTGTTCCTACCACTCAGCGGCCACATTCAACTGGTACAGGAGTAAGTACAAAGGCTACAACATGTGCTGTTCTCTTTCACAGTTTTGTATATGAAACAGCCTTATACAGGACAGCACCAACGAGCTTGGTGTCTAAGGCACTACATATGTTATGGATCAACCGAGTGGATTTTGGAAGAATGATTTGATCTATGAAGAAAAATGGGTTGGCTTCTTTATTTCTAGCAAGTTGTAACCTCTCTGAGCACCTCACACAGTACCTTGCTCATACCAACCAATAGGGACAGCAGCAGTATCTACAGTGCCAAAGCACAGCCATGCAGTAGGACAGGAAGTGTGTGAGCTCAGTAACAGGTGGAAGAGGGGCTACCTTGGAGACAGTCCTCCATGGGAACAGTTTGTTGGAGAGGTGAGGGGGCTGGTCCTGCTGGGGGTGTGGCGTGTCGGCGTCCGGCCAATGGTGTTGCTGGGAGAGCCCTGGAAGAGAGGAAGACAAGAAGGAAAGGTGTAAACCCTGCTGTCTGATGGTTCTGCTGACCTACACACACCCAACTGTGTTTAGCACTGTACGGTAAGATTTTTTTTATATGAGTTTGGCTTCTGTGAGAATTCTGAAGTGAGGAAAAAGAAATACTGTAATTTATTATGGTAACCAAACTTACGATCCTTATATCGATGATTGAACATGTACATAAATTATGTTCGTATTGACTTTATTGCCGTGCAAATGCATTCGTTCAAGGCCTCTCTGTGGCCATAAGGTAATTATGTTCAAATTTGTAATCTCAAGTGTTTGTATTGTGATTGTGGAAACTTGTTTTTTTCATTGTAATATTTTTGTATTCCTGGCAGAAATGGGCTTCCATAAAATCATATCAACACTAGAGTGTTTGATCTGACTCACCACACTGCTGCTGGTGTTGCTAGAGTTCTTCAGGTGGTTGTGCAGCAGTTTGGTGGCTCCGTCCTGGAACGTTTTGGGGAGGGCTCCCAGCAGCATGGTGAACTCTGGGGTGTTGAGCTCAAACAGAGCGATGAGCACCACCTGTGCCGCCTGCAGGACGTTCAGAACAACGGGTCAGGACTGAGGACACAGCTGAGGAAGTTCAGATGGTTTCCCTGGTTCCTTAACTACTTTGACCATGTGTTTCTGACAGACCTTTCTCCAGGGGGGATCAGAGGCGCTGTTCTGACATTTAATAATGATCAAAAAGTAGAGGTTCAGTTATAATTCACTGTTATTTTTTGAATGTCAGAACTTGTAGCACAACAGCAATCCGAGGCAAGGGTTCACTTTGATAAAGGTCAAAACTATTCTGAAACCATGGAAACCAACTGTTCAGCTCCTCAGTAGACTCACATGTGCATTAGCCTGTAGAAAGAAACTGTTAAAAGCTGCATTCAGAGGGAAACTAATGAAGTCAATAACTATTCAAGGACATTGTTGATATATCCATGTTGCAACATGCAAGTGAGTATAGATCAAACTTGTAGAGGAGTTTAGAATAAACCTGATTTGTTTAACTGAGCTATTGCTTATTTGAAGTTATTATACTGCTGCTATTTTACCATGGTGTACATATCTGCAGTTTTCTTTTTGACTTATTGTGTTATTAATAATGTGCACATACTTAGTCATTTTCTTTATTTGTTAGTCTATTCTCCTCACTTTATCTGCACTACCTGCTTGCTCTTAAAATAAGTTTGAATAGATGAATGGACTAACAATCTGATATGTATATATTTATTTTGTTCCTGTTAAGTTTATGTAGACTTGTCGTATGTTGCATCGGACCAGAGTAAATAAATGTAATCAAATATGATGTAATCATGGATAACTTTTGAATACTGTTATTGGGTCAATAACGTTTTTATAACCCGCTTTAGAGTCATATTTAGAATTTCTCTTGTACATACATAGCATGTTAACAACATGCAGGTACAAGTGTGAAAAAGAGGTTGTTAATGTGAGTCAGAAAAACAAATGTGTAAGACACACAGAAGAAACAAAACGGCATTTATATCAATACAATTGACTTGGAAGTCCGTTCACACAAAGCAACAAGCATTTCCTGTCCTATTAAAAAACATTCCAGGTTAAAGGTCCCACGCTCCTGCTATGGGTGCACAACAGGCGGAATCTATTTGGTGAGTGATCAATTTGCAAGCACAGAGTGGATTTTAAGTTGTTACAGCGAAACAGCTGGAGCTTCAATCCTGAAAGTGAGTGACAGGCGCCACACTGGAGCTTCTCTGTCTCTAGGTGGTGGTTAGGCACCGGGCAGGCGGGGCATTGTGTGCTTATCGTGTTGTGATTGGCTGCTGGCGGGGCTCTACCTGCTTACACCTGTCTTCCTGGTTGCCCTCAGCGGACAGTAAGGCTGCAGGGCTGGACCTGCCTGCTAGCTCCTCGCTCACCCAGCTATGAAGGGTCTGGGGCACAGTGGGGGCAATATGGGCGTTACAGAAAGACACAGGACCCCCAACCTCACATGTGGATGCAACACTCAACCAATCCTCCCTAGCACTAACCTTTTTGTAGTATGCCAATGAACAACAGCAGTGTAACAAACAGGATGGGACACAGAGGGAGGACATGTGACACGCGTCAGATAGGGGGAAGATAATGGGCCACTGACCGAAGGCCCTCTACACTGAGAACCTAAGTTTACTACTGTGGCTGAACAAACAATCCAGACTGAAGAATTCAAATGATAACAAGTGTGGAGGTTTACAAGATTCCACTGGCTGTCCAGTGTAAATCTGGATTATAACGCAAACACAGATGATGTATCGTTGTAGTCAACTCACAATGCTATTTTTAACCTTGTTACATATGTTTTACTAAACACCTCTAAGCAATTAGTTTGGCATTAAGCTTGCTCACCCACTTTTAATGTTATTAAAATAGTTTAGTATGGCATTACTTCCTATGGAGATTATATATCAAAAATAATTTATGTTGAGGAAAAAATAAATAAAGAAACAATAGATTTGATGTGAGATCTAATCTGTTCCCTTCTCATTCTTCGTGGGCCGGAGCTCAGAGTCCTGCATCGGGAAAAAAGTGATTTGCGGGTGGTATTTTTCCGGGTTTGGTTCTGGGTAAACAAAGATGATGCGGGTCGGGTCGCGGGTATTGCATAATAAATATATTAAAATAATAATAATTTAGTTTAATATTTAAATCCTCAGACCTCTCCCCCGCGGGACCGCGCATAATCATAACCTCTGCAGCGCATCAATCTGCTGCTGTGCGCGCCACATTCGAAATGGCTGAGGTGAAGCTCTCTAGCGGAGAATACAGCATTTTCAATAACACTTCCTCAAGAGCGAAATCCAACGTCTGGGAGGCTTCTGGTGTCATCCTAGATGGAGAAAATAACCAACATCCCACGCTTTTTGAGACAAATATGCAACTGCGTGTGTTAATAATTGCACGTTTTCACTGCTCATATATGTTAGGAGTAAGACAGAAATATTCTCTAAGTGTCAAAGAATAATTCTTCCTTACTCCTAAGATATTTAACCTTTCTGCCTGTTGACATTTACGACAAACCCTAAGTCTGTTATCTGTCTTAAGGAATGGGAAGTCTCAGCTATTGTTGACATTATCAGTTTTATGACCGGTCAACTCTCGGTCACAGAGCCAAAGAGTCAGATAAGTGATTCAGTGTCTCCAGGTGTTCCCGTATACCTTCCCCCAATATGTGGGTTGACTCTCTGTAAACTAGTTAAAGGGTCTACCAAGATGCGAGGCTGATCAGAATTGACATAACCCACCCGTGCAGTCAGAACCTTTTGCTGCTGTGACTTGTGATATGAATTCTCCGGCCGTATCCTTGTAATAAACTATCCTTGTTTGACATCAAAGCTCCAACTCTCCTCGTGTCTCTCTGAGTCCTGACTCTCCATTGCTGCAGAAGTTTCCCTTACAATATATATGCGGGTTCGGGTCGGGTTGCGGATCTTGTGCTGTCGGGTCGGGTCGGGTTGCGGAACTAATTGGCAATATGTGCAGGTAGCGGGGCGGGTTCGGTATTGCACATTGCGGGTGCGGGTCTTGAAAATCAGACCCGTGCAGGACTCTGCCGTAGCTACATCTTCTGGTTTAGAAGGGTTACATTGCACCATGAGGATTAAAGCAACAAATATGTCATGTGTCACATGTTGTTTTAACCAAGGAATCAAAAATACATTCATATTCTCTGATAACTCCAGTGTGCTGAACAAATGCGTACGACCTAAATTAGGAACAAAAGGAATTTTCTTTTTTTTTTAAATGGGATGAAAACCAAAAACATTATTCTGCAGGAAAAGGTTTGTACAAGCAGAAAGATTTGGACAGTCAGTGCTGGATAACGTGGCCTACCTTCCTGACATCAGAACTTTTGGGTTCAGTGGTCCAGGTGATGATGCGAGAGACGGCCAGGCGCGTCTCACTGGAGTTGACAAAGTCTGTCGGGTCCATCTGCCTGGCCAGGGTGTCGATGTACTTCAGAATGGCCACCTTAACCTGAAGAGACAGCACACCATTACGTGTGACAAAAATGTTCCATCAACCACACTCAGCGATCCAAACCAGGTCTGTGAACAGAATGAGGGTTTACCTTCAGGTTAGGGGTCTGAGTCTGATCCACGATGAACCGCATCAGGATGTTAAACTGCTGATCGAATGGGAAGGAATCCCTGACACACACAAAGAAATGAGAGGTTACCTTTTGCTGTCCTATGATGGAACAAGCTTGACTGCTCAATAATGAGGTTGATCACTAATTCAGAGGTATAGGAAATCAGGTGTCCTTCAAATAGATCTCCTTCAAATAAGCATGGGAATATATGAAGATATCATGTCACCGTTATTCTGCACAATATAATCCCGATAATTATCAAACATGCTTAAACGCGCTTATAAAGGCATTAAAACATAGTGGAATCACGTGGACTTACATTTGACTTTATTAGTGTTGCATCCCAGATGTTTGATTGTCTTTTTTGTGAAAAACTATCCTACACAGGGTTATAATATAAAGGTAAAGTAATAATAAATAAATAAACAAGTAACAACATTGTGTGAATCCATTCTTTTCTACTTTCCTTGATTCCTAAAATAAATCTCCAATTATATATTTTTAAATAACTACTTAATGGTTGTGATGTTGCTGCCAATAATGTATTAACTCTCAACATTCACCACAGAGTGAGTCAGAGAAAATCTTTCACACTCTCTTTACATTTCTCTAAATCAGTGGTTCCCAACCGGTGTGCCGCGAGCAATGTCCAGGTGTGCCGCGAGCAATGTCCAGGTGTGCCGCGAGCAATGTCCAGGTGTGCCGCGAGCAATGTCCAGGTGTGCCGTAGAATCTTTTTGTTTTACGTTCCAAATGTTTTTTTCACTTAATAAACTTCACTTCATGTATTACATGTACAATGGAGTTGATAAGCTAATAAAACATATATATTGCTCAGATTTAGAAATATGAAATTGAATATAGCCTCATACTGACTGCTTAAATTCTCATGACTTACGTCAGCCGTCATTGTTTACGGCGTGCAGACTGCAGAGCAGCTTTTTATCCTTGCGCCAAAGCATTACAAGAGTAATGAGAGTGAGAGTGCTGGAGCAGAGGTTTGAGTCATATTTCCCTCCTATGAATGAAGACTTCGATTGGCTCCGGGAGCCGTTTAATCCTCTCTCATTAATATCAGCCACTAACAGCAGAGCTCAGGATGAACTCGCAGAGCTATTGGACCGCTCCCTGAAACTGGAGCACGGTGAACTACGTCTGGATATCTTTTGGCTGCTTGTGGGACACGAGTATCCATCCCTCTGAGAGTGCCATCAACGTGCCTTTACAGTTTCCAACCTCCTACTTGTGCCAGCTGGTGTTTTCCTCACTCATATGTCCAAAACAAGACCCGCACCCGGCTGTCAGTGGAACAGGACCTCCGCGTGGCGCTGTCCACTAAAAAAAGGTTGGGAACCACTGCTCTAAATAGAATAATAATAAATAATTTCAAGCCCCTTTTCAGTGTAAAAGAACACTGATGTTTGCTGTGCCCCCCTGTGACCCGGACAGTTTGAACTGGTTAAAGACCTTGTGATATCCAGGGCCTTCTGGACTTTGGCCTGCACGGAGCCCAGCAGGTCGGCCCCCATCTTCTTCAGCAGCTGGGTGAGCAGCACAAAGAGCCAGTCCTGCAGGTCCTCCCTGTGCACCAGGACGAAGTCCACCAGGGTCTCCAGGAACATGCTGAACACCTGAGCAGACATGCACACTCATTACTGATTTAAATAGGATGAACCTGCTCATGTTCAGACAGGTACATGCCGGCAGTGATATGGATAGAAAACACACTTACTCTCTGTTGTTAAATCCACAGCAAGGCAGGCCATGCAACAAGAGACACTGATTAGTTTCAACAGGCAGGCTCCATCGCTGTATTTTAGACACCATGCCTTCACACCAAGTCTTATCTAGTTGCGCTTCAGTTAGTGTAGTCGTATTCTTTACCTTGCTATGTGGGTCTGCAAACATCCTTGTGAAGATCTCACAAAGTCTCTTCAGCTCCACTCGGCTGCAAGCGACAGAAGAAAATCATCAGGGCAGGGTTCACATCTTTTTTTGGTTTTGAACAACACTTATAAGCACATCTTTTTTTGAATTGGCTTATATTAAGTGTCACTAATTATGCTCTTTACTTATTCTGTAATTTATTTGATACTTTTTACATTTATGTCACGATTTATTTTGGTCCAGTTTATTCAAAAAGAATTATACTTTATATGCCCTTCATTAGATTTATTTTCAACCCCCTCAACTTTTTTGCTATATTTGATGTCATTATACTTTGTCTAAACATCTGCGTTTGTGCATATGTCGATATGTGTATAGTTGTGTATTTACTGTGTAATATCACTGACAGTTCAAGTCTAACTTCTCTTTTGGCTGTTCACTCAGTTAAAAGCTTTTTGAAATCTAACCCTCACCTACTGTATGTGAGCTGGATATAGTACCAAAGCTCATATTTGCCCTCTGAGCCCAGCCCACCTGAGTATCCTCTGGCTTTTGAAGAGGTTCTGCAGGCCCAGCAGACCCTCCTTCCTCTCGGACCAGTTGGAGCTGGCGCAGTGGTTCAGGACCTCGGCCACGTCCTCCGTCTGCCGCAGGTAGTGAGGGATCCCTCCGTTCCTGGAGCTGTACGAGCGCTCCGAGCAGGCGCTGGATGCGTCGCTGTTGGCGTCGTCGTCAGAGTATATCCCCGGGGATTCGTACCTGCGCCTCATCGGCTTCCTCTGCGGGAGGAAGAAGATCGTGATGGAAATGTGACACACAGTTTGATTCCTAGATGTTAACAAGGCTCTGCAGGATGTGTTCTGGTTTGCATCAGGGAGACATGCACTCAGTACATTTCATCTTTTATTCTCTGGATTTGAGTTATCCGTTTAAAAGGAAATTCAGTACGCAATTGTGATATTTATGTTCTGTAAATACGTATTAGGACCATAATATGCTAAATAGTAGAGTAAATACACGGAGCTAGGGAAAGGGTAATATTTCAGTAAAAAAAGTGTAGAATTTCAAAGATAAAAGACAACAAATGGGAATAATCTATGTTATTACATTACATTACATTACATTGCATTTAGCTGACGCTTTTATCCAAAGCGACTTACAATAAGTACATTCGACCAGGAAGACACAACCTTGAAGAAAACAGAATCATATAAGTATATCAGGTTTCATAGAGCCAAACATTTCAAGTGCTACTCCACTGGCTTTAGAAAAGCCAGTCCTTTATTAGTATAAAAGTGCTTCGTTAATAGTTCTAACGCTCGAAGTGGAGTCGAAAGAGATGAGTTTTCAGTTTGCGCCGGAAGATGTGCAAGCTATCTGCCGTCCTGATGTCAATGGGGAGCTCATTCCACCATTTTGGAGCCAGGATAGCAAACCCACGTGTTTTCGCCGATGGGAACTTGGGTCCCCTTCGCAGCGAGGGTGCAACGAGTCGTTTGGCTGATGCAGAGCGTAGTGCACGCGCTGGGGTGTACGGTTTAACCATGTCCTGGATGTAGGAAGGGCCAGATCCATTCGCAGCACGGTAAGCAAGTACCAGTGTCTTGAAGTGGATTCTAGCAGTTACCGGAAGCCAGTGAAGGGAGCGGAGGAGCGGAGTGGTGTGGGAGAATTTAGGAAGGTTGAAGACCAGATGAGCCGCTGCATTCTGGATGAGCTGCAGAGGTCGGATGGCACATGCAGGTAGACCAGCCAGGAGGGAGTTGCAGTAGTCTAGGCGTGAGATGACGAGAGCCTGGACCAGAACCTGAGTCGCTTTCTGAGTCAGCTGGGGACGTATCCTCCTGATGTTGTAAAGCGTGTATCTGCATCAACGGGTTGTAGCAGCGATGTTTGCAGTGAAGGACAGGTTGTTATCTAGGGTCACACCCAGATTCCTTGCAGTCTGAGTCGGGGAAACAACTGAGGTGCCGATGTTGATTGTCAGGTCAAGAGTTGGACAATCTTTTCCCGGGAGGAAGAGCAGCTCCATGTGTGGTTGATCATTCATTAATATGCAAGAGATTTTTTTTATTCTGAGATAATAGTCACAAATTAAAACATTGAAATAGCCAAGGAACCGCATGGCTTCAAAAGCTGTGGTGAGATAAGGTTGTGAAGACATCCAGGATCCTTGGCAACAAAACAAATGTCTTCACATATATATCATTGACATCTTTTTTTTCTCTTATTACTCTACGACTTTAATCTTAGAATATTACCCCTCTCTCTCGGCTCCTAGTAATCTTTTTTAGTTTTCTGTAATGGCTCTAATACGCTGTCGTAAATTCCTCAGTTGAAAATGAAATTCACTTTTGATTTTTGTTGATGAAATATGAACATCAAAGCCAGTAAAGCAGTGCGACAATAAAGCACAAATGAATAGAATAGTAATGACACAGCAAACAGTAGAGCATAGTTAATATCATGGACTTCATACAAACTAAAACAAGTATATGAATAAGGTACCAAAACTATTAGTTACAGCACATAATATTACAACGTGAAAAAAAGAAGAAAAAAAACACAAATTTGAGGTTCATTCAATCAAATAGCAAGAAAGAGGGTTGAGGGGTATCATGAGTAGAACACATCAAGCTGCATTACTGTTTTCTGAACTTGATTAGCGCGGGACAGCATGGATATACAAACAGTATGTAAAGTGCCATCTACCTTATTCCTGGAGTCTCCTAGCAGCTGAAATGGTAACAAACAACCAAGAGGGAAAGATGAGAGAGGGGAGCTTTAAAGATGGAACACACAATAAGTACACTACACATTTCACTGATCTGTGTGTGTGTGTGTGTATGTATGTGTGTGTGTGTGTGTGTGTGTGTGTGTGTGTGTGTGTGTGTGTGTGTGTGTGTGTGTGTGTGTGTGTGTGTGTGTGTGTGTGTGTGTGTGTGTGTGTGTGTGTGTGTGTGTGTGTGTGTGTGTGGTGTGTGTCTCTATCTCAGAGGCTTTATTAAAACTCTCAAAGTTAAATATGTGTAATAGGCTGTGTGGGGCTACACTAAGAAACGTTTCACGCTCATGATGAGTGTCGCCCCCGGTAGTCTTGTATCACAAGGGTTCCAGTCTGACCATATTACCTTAATTATGGTCAGAGTGGTCAAAGAGGCCTAAAACTTATTAATTTAATGTCTTGATATGTATATTATTTCCGTCAGCGATCCAGGTCTGTATTTAACAAAAGTTACTAGTAATATACTTAATCATGATTAATAGATTGTGACCTGGATCCAAATGATTGGCTGAATATGTAAGGATTGAAAAAGTTAAGTTTTTGATAAAAAAATAATCACTTACAATATTGTAATATGAGCCGATGAGCTTCCAGGCTACCGAAGCTACACGTGTGATGTGGCTGACTGAACTTTATATTTACTAAGATTTAAGCCAAACTTTGGACACAGTTAACTAATGATATAAAAACAAAGTTGCATGAACCCTTGCCTAGTGTTTGCTTCAAAAACAATCACATGTCAATAACAACATGATTATTAAGCAGTAACAGCAGCTTACCAGAGCATCAGCCACCGCTGCCTCCACCTCTGTGCCGGTGTTCAGGACCCTCATGGCGTTGACAGAGGCAGAGATCCTGGCTTGGTGGATCAAACCATATCGGTCTACACAGGAAGGGGGATGAGAAAGATAGTAAGTCAATCTTAGTTAGAAAAGCAAAAGTGGCCACTGCAACTTACCTGAATGGGTTCTTTGGTGTGTAACAAAACAAAGAGCAATGCACTGCAGATGAATGAGCTCAAAAGGAAAATATTCTCTAATAAAAGAAGGAAGAAAAGAAAAACTAAAAGAGAGGATGACCAAGCCCACCAAAGAGGAATGTCAAGAATGAAAACAACAGAGGCACAACTGAGACAGTTCCATGAGAAGGGGCAAATAACAAAAAGTGAAGCTAGCTGAGTCAGCATATCAAATGCTGTAGATCATACATCCACAGAAGTCACAGCTATAAATGAGGACAATGAGGTGAAGCAGAGGAAAACCTAATGTTTCTCTTTTCATGCTAAACAAAAACAACTGGCCTTTCTTACCTTTCCTGTATGCTAAGTGCAATGCTCAAAAACACTAACGTAAAAGGGTGGTGGATGCTTCAGGTCACATCACTGAACATAAACACGGAGGCATGCTGGTTCAGTAGGCCTCTAAGAGGGAACCTGGGAGGTCTGAGAGGGGACTGGGGGGGTCGGGGGGTTCTGGGCATGCAGGTCACCTGACTGGCTGTGGGGGTCGGCTGTGGAGAGAGCGCTGGTTGAACGGGAGTGACGTCGGGAGGCTGCAGGAGAGGTGGGCAACATTTGGGCGGGGGGGTTAGTGACACACACTACAGGTTTAAATGTCCCATGTCATGCTTTTCCGGTTATTACCCGTCCCCTTGTGTGTTATGTAGCTTCTTCTGCATGTAAACGGTCTGCAGACTCACAAACCCTCAAAGTACACCCTGTAGCGAGTAAAACTCCAACACAGAAAATACCTGTCTATGCTGCCCCAGAACGCCTCGTTGGAGATTTCTCTTTTTCCATTGTTTTCTTCCGGGTACAGTGACGTATTTCAGGTACAGTGACGTATTTCAGGTACAGTGACGTATTTCAGGTACAGTGACGTATTTCAGGTACAGTGACGTATTTCAGGTACAGTGACGTATTTCAGGTATAGTGACGTAACGTGACGTAACGTGACTTAACGGCTCCGCAGATTGGTCCAAACTGACCAATCCGTGGAGCTCACATGGAGGGGGGGGGGCGGGGCAGGAGCTCCAACAAGCCATTTAGGACAGAGAGTGAATATACAGACTATACAGAGATGCTGTATGAGAAACCAATGTGAGTTTGGAACATTGAACAATATACATTTATTTTAGTAGACCTCAACAATGGAATTATGATGAGTAGAAATGGCCATGACATGGGACCTTTAACACCGGCCTCTGAAGGTCAGTCTCAGCAGCAACTGCTGCACATTGACAGGAACCCTGAGAGGCAATGGATTACTTTTGTTCTTTTTCGAACACTGGTGAAAAGAAAGTATAGGCAGGTGATTTTCCTTTTCTTTTGATAGGATCTATTTTCTTGTACCACTCATTGTGACCCAAAGGGACTGAAGAGCCTGTACTACCCCGCACTGATGCTTACATTTCTCCATGTGCTCTTAACACACGCTTCATATATTTAAGTTAGCAGTTTAAGAAACATAACTGAACTGTGTTTACATTTGTTTGAAATATATTTTGAACATATCAATATGACATCAGGAATGACTTAAGATCAATTTGGAACATGGGATAGTAGTGCACCCTCTTGTGTGTGAAATGTTTATTACAACAACAAACACGAGTGATCCAAAGCACACCTGTTTTATATAATTATAACTTAGACAGTTTATGGTGGCAAAATAAAGTTGTTTGTTTTAGGTCAGAGCTTCCTTTATTTCGCCTCATCCACAGGTGTGTTATATTTCATTTGGAATCTTAATGAATTGGACAGAAAATGTGACTCTTGTTTTCAACCTGAAATGAGTGCTGTTGTTTTGATATGACATAGAGTATTAAAGGAGATTAATAATAACCCCTTAATCTTTCAAACAAGATCACTGCTGGCTTAAACACCCTTTTTTATAAATATAGAACTGATTATTTGGAGGCCTTAACAGAGATGTTATTAAGCTCTGCAGTGGGAACAAGGGTCCCTTCTCCACGTGTTACTATTGGATATACAGTTAGGTAGCCCATTACTCATAACCCATAGCAGCATTGTATTGTTCACTTTGTAAAGCGATGCTAAAGCACTGACAGTCCTTAATCTGATGCTTCTCAGGTTCTATGATACAGCACCACAGAGATACAGTTCAACATGTGGTATGTACTGCAACAGACATCTGTACTGAAATTAAGACCACCAGCCTAGTGGTGTGAAAAACAAACTGGAGTTATGACATCATTTCCCAGAATCCAACAGCACAATAACTACGAGCTGCAGTAGCGGGCATTGTTTGCATGGGCACAATCAGCGCTTGAATGATCATTATTGCTAGCTGTTTATCTCCGTCCACCTTTCATCTTCCTCAATCTTTCAAGACGGCACTTGAATCACAACATGTTCACAGATTCCTTCAGAAATAATTCACATACACAAATCCAGCTCAAAAACATTCAGAAACAAATAAGGTAGATTCCACGATGGTACTTTGTCGTTTATACCATCATTCAAAGTGCAACAGAGAGAGAACATCATTCTGGCGATGTCTTTTCTAAGTCTGGTCTTAATTGTTTTCTCTCCTGTTTGGTCAGGGTTATTTTCCTTAGTTCCTAAATTCTGCTCTCAGTGAAAATGATTTCTGTTGTTAGTATCATGTGGTTGCTGTTGTAATGCTCATTTTGGAAAAAGAAAAAAGGCAACAACATGTTCTGAATGACTAAAGCATTCATGTCCTCTGAGTGCATCGAGAAGTTAACATTTCACAGATTTTGCCTATTCAAAATATAATAATAAAAGAAAAAGTCAAACAGAAATCTGACACCAACACTTCCCCCCCCACCTACTATGTCTTCACCGATGTGAAGATGAAACAAATGTGGACATTTATTAATAGATAATCCTGCCAAACTCCTTTTTGTAAGTGCGGGAGAGAAAACTATTTAGATCAGAATTTCAAAATGGATCACCAGAATTTCATTTCTCACTCAGCTCTCAAAGCTTCCATACAAGAGAAAGTGGAAACAGTACATTCAACTTCTCTAAACCCAGGAAGACATCATTAGTGCATGCGCAGATAAATACAGGCAGACACAGAAAGCATGCTACAGATAACACCAACAGGAAAAGACAAAGCTTGTGTGAGCATCTGGGAAGACTCTCCAGTCGGGACCCTCACTGGGAAAGGGGGTCCATGAGCTGAGCGGTACTCACCCAGAGGAGTGAAGCCCCGAGCAGGGCTGGTGTCGCGGCTGCTCTCGCGACTGGTGTCACGACTGCAGCCCTGACTCATGCTGGGGCGGGGGATGCGGCTCCGGGCTAGCGTGCGGTAGGGAAGAGCAGCAGGAAGAAGAGCTTTACCACACAGGCTGGCTGTCAGGACAACAAGTTAGGTGGGAAGGTCAGTGCATTCATGAGGGAGACAGATGTGAGGAGCAGAAGAGGAGGAGAGGTTCTGAAAGAAGAAGCCCTGCAGACTGTTCTCTACCTCTCTAAAGAGGTTTGACAACCTTTCATTTAGGATGTAATGGCATGAGTACTTTGAAAACTATTGACAGTGTAAAGTTAAGAAGTGACTCTGTCTTGGTTAAGGTTTGTATACACACTGCTGTCTAAGGGAACATGTTCTGTTAAACACCATTCTTTCTTTCTGACATGGCTTGTATACTAGCTAACTAACACAACTACTACATGTCACATTTTTGTGAGCGTAATCTGCGCACACAAATCATCAAAAATGGCTTTATATATCAACATGGGGGTTTCCATTGTGCTGCTGAAACGATCAAGCAATACCGCTGAAGAGAGGTGTACAAACTCAGAAATGTTGCATCAGGCCAATTTAGCATTTTGCCCTGAATGAAAATGCGACAGGATCATAAAGACATACTTTACGATATGAGAATATACTCTGCAAACCTTATGACCATCACTATTTGAATATTCTATGTGAACTAATGCACACTCAGACCGATCAATGAACAAACGTCCTCCAGGGGCTCTGATGCCCAAGATATAAAGGAGGACAAAAAGGGTCTGGACAGATAAGAAGCAGATGAAGAAGAAGTGAAAGTGAAGACAGGAAGAGGAACAGAGTCAGTGCCAGGATGCTGGTGAGTGAGCAGGTCAAACAGCATACTGCTAGTACGGGTTAGACTGGACTCCACAGAGCAACTCCAGCTTCTGTTACCGGGTGACAAGGACTCCATAAATGAGAAAAGGACAAACACTGATCAAAAACAGTATCCTGTTCTCGTCAAAACAAACCTGTAAACATTAATAACCACTAGCACATTTGAAAACAAAACCAAAGTGAAGGAACCTCAATTAATACGAAATATTCAACATTTGGGCAAAAGAAACATGTTTTCATGACAAACACTACATCACCCACAAGCCCCACTGCCTCTCAACCAATCACACACCAGAATAGATCTGTGAGGAATGTGTAGCTGAAAACTAACTATGCATGACGAGAACAGAACAGACATTGCTGTCTTTGTCATCTGCCTTATTGTCTGTGCAAATAATAAGCCCACAATGCTTTGTGGTGGACGGAAACAGTCTGAGCTTCAGTGTCTGACTGTTGCAAGGTTTCAAAGGACAAAACAAACACAAGGTTATCTCTGCATCAGGAAGAAATGAACAGAAGGTCCAGTTTCACATGTTTTAGACATCATTCTGTGTAACGTTTGTATGACGTGGAGCATGTGGAGTGTTTGACTTGTTGCTGACTAGCGTCACAGTGCCTGCACAATTAAATGCGGATTTGACAAGAAGTAGACAAATTCAAATGTCATGAATCACATTGCAGTGTCTTGTGTTTTGCCTATAAGAGAGTGATAAAAACGTTCTTTTTACCGAGCAAGATCAGTGTATGGAAAAACAATGGGTATGCCTGTTGTCTCGCCTCTTAGTTCTGTCTTACAAATGCAAGCCACTGTAAATAACTTCTCTAGACTTTGACCCATTAGACTAACTGTCACTGAAGACGTGTGTGCTTGGTGCCGTTCTCACCGAGGCCCAGGCGGGTGGGGCTGGTGTCCCGGCTGGTGTCCCGGCTGCAGCCCTGGCTGCGGGGGACGCGGCTGCGCTTGTCAGCAGGCGTGGTGGAGGCCGACACCGAGACCCGAGGGACCCGCCCGTAGCTGCTGTGGCCCAGCAGCTTCCCCGGGGAGCTGGAGCGACTGCCGGCTGTGGGAGAAAGACACGTACCGGGGTTACACAGCATCCAGGGGCCGAGGGAGAGGAGTAAGGAGGGTAAAACCTTCAATAACATGCTCAGTTTAATCTCCAAACTCAAGCCCTGTGGAAGCAGACCAGATGCTTTGCCGACATATTATAGTGTCTTCTCCTATATTTATTCATCTCAGTGTGGAGTCTTAACCTATGTCATGGATTTAGACGGATTGAAAGGTGAATTCATACGTATTTGTAATGACAACACGACAGTTGGATGCAAACAGAACACGCGGTGTGAGGGGGACAGGAACCACATGTAACTCTGTGTGGGGAGACAGTTACTGTGGAAAAACTTCAATAGTGAAAACAAAGAATACAAAGACAACAAAATGGCAAACATGTCCGACTCCATACAGCGCTCAAACTGTGGGGGAAGGTTATCAGAAATGAAAATGTGAATGTGAGGAAACCCTACCCTACATGGTGAAACAAAGGTAAAACAGTGATGAGAATGGACGGGCATGCAACGTTCAAAGAAGGAGTTGCTTTGTGATGAGCTCCTGAATTGTGATTGGATGAAGCTGAGGCCTTACCATTGATGGGATTGGCTGATCTGGATCCTGGGTGATGGAGGCAATAGGCAGGATAGGGTGGAGAACGGTCAAAATGAGACAGAAGGGGTTATGTTTATTGACTTTACCCAGCATGCACTCTGGGTTGTTAGCATGTTAGCTGTGACCTGATGAACAGCAGAAGCCCTGAGTGGCAAGCGAGAATTAAAACAAATGTATTTTCTAAGTATGGTCTCAAATGTTTCCCCTCCTGTGTTCATTAATAAGACATCTTTTTTCTGTTGTGTGTGTTGTGTCTGCATGCCTGAGATGGGGTCTGTGGTTAACACAAGCTGAATAGTTTTCCACCTTTTGATTCATGACAAAAATCTGTCAGTAAATGCCTTGAATATCTGAAGCTTCTTTGCTAACAAGTGACTACATGAGACTACTAAACATCGCCACGCCAAACACAAGTCCACCTTTATCTGAGCAGTGGTGATGTGCAGCCATGTGGCAGTGATGGAGTTCGTTTTTTTAGCCATACTTACTTCTGGCGATTGCATTTACTAAATCAAAAGTCATGGAAGTGGTGTTAATATGTGGAGATGATCCTGCTGAACAAAACGTGTAACTATCATTAACGTTTGTTTGCTAAAGACTTTATACAGTGCAAACTTCTGGGGTCGTCCTACAAAAACATTCATCATCGCACCACTCTGTACTGGCCCTGCAAACCCTGTTTCTTAACTGTTCTGAAGTCATAAACACAGCAGAGAAAACAATTAGATCAGACATTCAGATCCCCACATTTTCTCACTTGCCTCTCAGGTTTTTTTAGCCCACTGACAGATCACAAGAATACATAGATGCCAACATACTGTGAATGCAGGTAGGCACACTTGCACAAATACAAACGATTTGTCACAGGAAGTGGTTTCAAGATAAAATAACACACATACAAGAAACAGCAACACATCTAGTATGATCTCAATGCAGACAAGATCATAGAAAACATGAGAGTGACAGACTGGTAAATAGTAGGCACAAACATAGCTGTGTACGGTTGTAATGTTAGTAGTCTGTTATATCTCCAGCGTCACGGTATGGGAGCCTGTGTGGGGTGTATATACGTACGCTGGGACTGGGAGACGATTTTGGCTCGGCTGCGTCCCCTACTGTCCACCACTGAGGGGCTGGCCCCCCCCCGTACTGCCCGAGCTCTGCCTCCTGGTACGGACTCGACCTGGGCGACAAGGGAGAGAAGAAAGGCAGGGGGGTTTAATACACATGAATGACTTTCACCACAACCCTGGACAGAGATGCTGGAGAGGAAATAGTCTGGGGAGACAGGATGAAGAAGACCTGGATGAGGGGAAAAGCCCCCCTGAAACACACAGCAGGGAAACAAACACACCTGGCTCTATTAGTTTGCAAATCATTCTCAGCGTGCGTTTTAACCTGCAACCAAAGTTCATGATGGGTGGGGAGCAACAGGAGAGCACATAAGTGACTTTTAAGTGACATTATCCCACTTGTGTGCCTAAAACGCACAGTGAGAAATATTGGCAAACTTTTTCGACTCTGGTGTGGTGAAGGACAGACATACATTGAACATCCTTTTCATCTGCCTATATATATATGATTAAAAAAACCTGCAAACATGAACAAAACTGGGACATTTTTACTTATAATAATGAGTGGAAAAAATGTAGTTTTGGAAGTTTAGCTAGGAAAGATCATCTGTCGACTTCAAATCAAAAATGAAAGCAACATGTGCTGCTAACAGCAAGGCTAGCAAAGCAAAGGCTAGAATACACTACCATTCGCAAAAGCGTGATAGTCCAGTCAGATGTCTGAGACTCAATATGTTTGAATACACTTTCATGCATTTAAAGATGCAGAAAGTAATCTTTACAAATACAGTTGTATTTAGTTGTGGACATGGGGAACTCTATACAATGCTTAAACCACACTGACCATTGAAAGGGCAGAACATACTGTATTATGGATTATGCAGAGTACAGGACTCAAGGAAAAACGGACCAACTTCAAATGTAGAACCCAGTTGTTGTGCTTAATAATTATTGGGGTCCTTTCTGCTTTCCAGGACAGGAAAACAAAATGTATTCTACTTAATGAGGAGATAAAACTCTCTTTATTTATTTAGGGATCTCATTGTGTGCAATAATATCCTCCACTTTATGAGGATTTACCATACCGAAAGCTGCAGGAAGGAGTCCTAAGACCCAGAAATGAGTCACCATTTTTGCACTTCTGATTCAAGTGTCTTAAAGTCAATGGGTTTTGTAAATAGCCTTTTGGTAAGATGCCAGAAATAAGGTGTTTGATTAACACAAGCTTGAGAGATTTTCTAAAGTATCTCAGTTATTACTCCACTTGTTATTTTGAAGTGTTAACCAGTCTTTCATTTCATTTGCGGTATAATTGAGCCATAGCCTTTTCCCTCCAGTAAAGCAGTGACTAGCTTCTTTTGTTCAGGTCTTAAAAACGGACCATCAGCTGATTAGACTTGTGTGTGACTGATGAAAGGGTAAAGCATCTGTAGTGTGAAACCTTACATGATATCACAAAACAGATGCTATGTTCCTGTCATGCCACTAAGTTTAAACATCAGAACAGTCCACCACCTGTCCAGATTTTTGAGGACACTCAAAACTAAGGACAGTTAAAGCATTTGCTAGGATTAAACATGTGGTGATGAAACCTTGCAACGCGTTACAGTGGAACATCAATTTCTGTAAAGTAAAAGACATCAATAAAGAAAAAACGCAGCTGTATGAATCAGTAACGCTGGACCTGATCGCTGTGTGAGTAACAGGGTGGATGGATACACTTGTTAGGGTTACAGTGAGGAAGAGGAAGTCCATGCAGACAGTCCATGCAGTTCCACATAACTGACCACCACTGGGGGGGTAAAGAGAGGAAAAGAGGGCGCAGATGAGGAGAGACAGGATGTAGACGTGGAGCCTGTGACAGCTTACAAAAAGACACTCTCACACACCTTCACTTTCTGGTTTTCACACACACACACACACACACACACACACACACACACACACACACACACACACACACACACACACACACACACACACACACACACACACACACACACACACACACACACACACACACACACACGTCTTACCATCGATTTTACCAGGAGTGCCATCTTTTGGGTTTTTAAGAAAGGCAGTGCAGCAGCGAGTGGGAGGAGAGGTGTACAGGAAGACGTTAGTAGCAATTAAAGCAGGAGTGAGTGGGGGACCAGGGGCCTCATCATCATTAGTAACAGCCATTATCTGTCTACTGGGACTCGAGAAGAACAGGTTAGGGGGATAAGTTTGTGCGTGGCCAACAGAATTACAGTGCATGTCATATATTGGTGGGGGATGGCGTGAACTTTAGCCATTAGCTTAAAATGCTGTGAAAACATCCTTAAAAAGTGTCTGGGGGTTTAATCGCACTGGGAGGCCACTCAGCCTCATCACATTAGAAGTGTCAGTGTAGGATTTAAACAGTTCCTGCTGACAGAACAGTCTAATGACAGCCTCAGCACTCATTTATAACTCCAGTCAGGCCCGTAAAAGCCAGTGACTGCCGGAGAAAGTGTTTTAATATCTCATGATGATGGGAGACTTTGAGAATAACTGCTTGAGTCTTCCTCCAGAAAAAAACATGGTTAAGTAAAATACTGCTTTGAGAGAGGCTTTTTGTGAGGACAGTTCTACATAGGCCTATGCAACATTGCAGTTTTTATTTAGACCTTCCTGTTTTCCTCCTAAATGTTTTTATATCGGAATATGGGGTTATTTATGGCGCATTTCCACTGCAGGGCCTCGCACGGCTTAGTACGGTATAGTTAGGCCTTGGTAGGCCAGGCTCACTTTATGCTGCGTTTCCATTACAGTTTAGGAACTGGGGTAGTAACTATAGTAACGTAGTGTAGGCGGAGCCGTGACGTCATCTTCAATGCGAAACACAAAACCAACATCAGCCGTTAGCTGTTAGCCCTCAGAGCTCACAGCTCTTCATATCTGTTCAGAAACTAGACAAAAGTTAAACAAGTACAAACCACAGACTGTCTGTGTCATGGCGAATACAGTCGCTGGTTTATTTATGTCTGTATAGGCCGTTGTTGTGAGTGTGGACGGTCGGAGCATATATAACGTTAGCTTAGCCAATCTCCATTTAGAAAACACGCATTTTAAAAGGGTTTTTCGCCTGCCGTCTGTCTGCAGACTTGTCAAAGCATTAATTCACGGTTTTTACTAATCGGTATCAGTATGTTGTTACTTCGGCATCATTTTGAAACATGTATTACAATTAAATCACGTTTTGTTGTAGTTGCCAGCGATTCTCTCACTAGTTTAGCATACAGTACTCAGCCCGGTTGTTGGCCCGGAAAGAACCTCGATTTTGGAGAGCCAGAAAACTGTGAAAAAGTACCCGCTAGCCGGATCTACGCCTAGTGGAAACGCAACAAAAAAGGGCCGGGCGGGTACGGCACGCTTAAACCGCGCTGTAGTGGAAATGCGGCATAATGGCGCATTTGAAACTTGAGGTAAGTTGCAGTTGACGGGACACAAAGGTTAAATTAATAAAAGTTAGCTAAACAGTAGCTTTTTTAATTCCTGTTCTTCTACGTTATCTCAACTGTTGTATTTAGAATCCAGCATGTGAAGAGTTTTGCTGAATGACAGAGTTATTTCTTGCTGCCTAGTTTTTTGTTTGTTAGTTTTTCTGTTTTGAGAAGTTAAGAGGAAGGTGAGTGATGGATTACCTAATGAGGCGTAGGACCCGGGGGGGAGGGCCGCTGCAGAACTGAAGGGCGAGGAGGTGGGTACGGTGGACAGACGGGACTTTGAGCTGGAGGCGGCGTTGACGTCGATGTCACTACGGGAACGCTGGAGAGAACCTGATGAAGGAGACACCCTGCTGCCCACCAGCTTACCTACAACAGCACACACGAGGACTCATATCACTGAGGCTGTTTAAGCATCCTGCATCACTTACTTCTTAATGTTCTACTTTTACTGCCACCAAAGAGCAACACAGGAGGAGTTTCTGAGCCATCTGCTATGAGACTGTAGAACAACAACTGTGACAACAGTCTGGAACCTGAAGCCCTAGGGGTTGTGTTTTCTCATCAAGCACATACCACACGTTTCGCCTATGCATTTGCATACCAAGTCAATACAAACACACAAATAGATGAGTGTATATAGGTATCTATTCACATAAACCTATTCATGCCTAATTAAGCACATTTTTTGAGAATTGATAGAGTTACAACGATCTGATATCTATTCATAAAACAAGCAATTTAAATGTTGTTTGCTTGTCTTCTTAAGACCACGCTCAACAAACCATACATTCAGACTTTTATAAATCAGCATCAGGATATTTTAGCTTTCTTTTGATTCCTCAAATATTATAATTTTTTCAAATTGGATTCATACAGCATTGGTAAATAGAATAATTCAGCTCTGCAAATAACCAGGAATGATACTGCCGTCTGACTCGGGGTAAATAAAGGTACAAGGTCTTGATCAAGAGAGCATGTCTCTTAGTGCCTTATCTATACCAACTTAAGCACACTAGAGCCTAATTCTTCCAGTGTGCTTATTACTTCAGAGGAAACCCCACCCCAACAGATAGAAAGTCAGGAGGTGTCTTACTCCTTGTCATGCTCCCTCCAATGACACTCTTCACAGACAGTGGCCGGCTGAAAAACAAAAACATTGACACTAATTATCTTTATGTAGATCATATTCTAATCAAATGAGCATTTGACAACAGTAGACAGGTATAGCACAAGAACAATTCATATGAGGTATGAATGTGAAATGTATGGATTGAAAACATATAGAAACAAAGTTAAGACATTTGAAAAGATGATCCTGTCAGGAACAATGTTTACCTGTCAAAGAAATCTATTCAGATCAAACTCAGAAACCGGATCACCAGAAATATGTGTTTTATAATTTGCCTCGCAGGTCTTCCACGAGGGAACTTTTTATAAATATAATTATGATAAGCGGGTCATGTCCAACTCTGTCAAACGTTAGCTTTACACACACACTGATGAACCTGCAGTCCTGATGGATTGTGTATAATGTCATTAGTCAACACGCTCCATAAGGAGTCTATAAACGGTGTAAATGACAACAGTCGATCCAAGAGTGTGTGTGCATGTTGCTGGATCTGCAGCCTGTAATAATTACCCACGTCTCACAGACATATTCAATAAAACAGATTAGCATTAATCCATTCCTCCAATCAATTACAGAAAATAGATGCAAACGTCCAGAATATAGGAAAAGGTGGATAGAGATATGGAAACATGGTGGAACAGAGAGTGCAGATGGAACACAGGGGACAGGGATGGGAGAGTAAGAGAGCATCACAGTTCTTACTTCAGACTCTCCTGGGAGGAGGAGGACGAGCGGTCAGACTGCGGCAGAGACACGATGCTGTCAGAGCCCTTCAGGTGGGACTGCAGGGCCTTCTGATAGGGCGACTCCAGCGCCTGGAAGAGGTGCTCCGCCTCCCGGCTGTAGTGACCATGGAAACCCCAGTAGCATCTACAGGTGAGGGCGAGGGGAGGAAGAGGAAGACAGATTTTAACAGGGAAAGTTTACCCAAAATAAAAAGACACTTCCTCTGTAGTGCTTCATAAATCCAAATGCTTTGGTGTGAGATGCTGAGTATTGGTGATATTGTCTTTCTCTTTAATATAATACACCAAGATGCGCATGTGCTGACCAAAACAGAATACATTTGAAAAATTCCACAGGACTGTCTCTTTGAATAGATCATGACCCAGTTACTGAAGATAACCCACAAGCTTTGTTCAGAGCAGTTTAATGTTTCTCTGTGGTGGATGCACGCCTCCTTTTGTGGTGTTAGAGTTGTGTGGTATAGTTGAGTATAAATAAAGTAGTTCCTGCTCATATTATCTTGAGCAACCTGGTCATGATTCCTAAAAAAAACATTCCTGTTGAGTTAATATACTTTGTGTTGCTTTGAGCCTCACAATCTAGGTGCCATGAAGAATCAGGATCACAATTCCTTTATTCGTCCCAGTGGGGAAATGCAGAGTGTTACAGCACAAGTGGCTAAGCAGGTACAAATAGACAAGCAATAATAAAGAGTAAGCTAACTTATTAAATATAGAGAAGAAAATCACATAATAGTAATAATAAAATATAAATAAATGTTGGCAATGTATGTCTTTAACACAAGTGATTATTACACAGCACTGCAAACAAGTGTCTATATTGCACATTGCAGGGTTATTGCACTAACGTTCCACTCTAAGAGAAGGCAGACATCTCTCCAGTGGATATCTCCAGCACTCTGCAACTCACACTCAAACTGTTTAAAATGATTCATAAGTTGGTTGTCTCATCAAACAAAAACAAACCAAAGTCAGTCCCGGTGCGATGACACTTACTTCCTTGCGATGCATCTGGCCTCAGAGTCAGCGTCGTGGATGCCTTTCTTGATGGTCTCAGTCAGAACCGCCACGTGTCTGGGGTAGTAAGGGAACATAGTGAGGAGACAAGCAGGACGAAGTCCAGATAAGACCTCAAAAGCTAAAGTCCTGAGAATCCTCTCCCTCTTTTATTCCTCTGCCGGTCCACAGGCAGAGTGCCCACCCACAGGGGTTTTCACAAGCTTTTTGAAGACTCTGCGGAGGTTGTCATGGTTACAGTGATGGAAAGTCGCCTTATCACTGGGGGTCCTGATGATGATGGTTCTCTCAGGACTCATCAATTGAATGGGCCTCATCAGTGGTGCATCCAACCAACAGCTAACGCAAATGTTAGCCAACTCAAATACCATCATGTCAGAGGAGGATGATGAAGAGGCATTTACCTCCACCCCACAAACACACACATAACCTACACCACTTTATCCATTTGACACATACTGCGGGCTTTCCAAGTGCTATGGTGCTTTGGGAGAAAACAGCAAATGTGTTTTTACTAAAGTAATACAAATAGTGAGAGAGTTTGATTGCAACATTCAACATCCAGCAGGACATACTCGTCTTAGAGAAACGTATTACAAGATATCCTTTTGTTAAGATGCAGCCTAGTTCACTTAGACACATTTTATGTTTGTAAAGAAGCCCTTCGAACTAGATAAACTAAGGTGTATGGCTCTGCTGACAGGTGGTGAAGATGTGGTGTCTGTTCCTGGATGATGCTGAATTCAGGCTGTCATTTGTAGACCTAGTCATTGAACCATTTTGTTTGGACTCATTGAACCATTTTGTTTGAATAAATTATTCAAATGTTTTTGTTTTCTTAAGTTTTTCTGTCTTGCTCTTATGATTGTTAAACACCTAAATGTTATTTGCATAGAAGAGGAATACGGCTTACCTTTCCAATGTGTTAGTGGGCCACTCCTGTAACATGAGGTCTAGGAACTCAAAACAGCGCCTGCAGAGGGGAGAAAGACACAGAAACACCATGACACAGGAATATAACGTGAGAAGTGCCGCTATAACAAACACTTGTACATGTACATGTCAGTTTATTAAAGCAATGCAGCACACACAACACAACACGCCTGTATTTGCAGGGAGAATGTGAGAGATGGATTTGTTCTTTACACCAGGGCTGCAAATTAAGATTATAAAAAATAGTTGGTCATTTTTCTACCAACTAATTCTTGCGGATCTGCTATAGACTGAACAAGAACAGAATTTAAAAAATAAAAATGACATTTCATTATGTAGTGTAGATTCCTTATTACTGTAGTAGCATTATTGTCCTCTTACCGTCGGACTGCCACTGATTTGGCGGCGCAGTTACTGGTGATGATGGGGATGAGACGTGGGTAGTGTGTGCGCTGGAAGGAAAAGTTCAAAAGTAAGGTTCATCTCCAGTTACAATGATCTTCTCTCTTCTCCTCACATGATGATGACGTAGGGTATAATAAGGCTGAATGGAAAATGAACAGGCGGTCTGGAGACCCCTCTGGATGCTTACCCTGAGGAGGAGGCGGATGGTGGCCACTCCGGACGTGGCCATGATTTTGGCACTGTTGGGCACGAGGTTGAGCAGCGTGGGCATGATGCTCTCTGCTCCGTGGTCAAACTTGTTTCCCAGTATCAAAGACAAGTGTCTGCCAGAGGGAGAAGAGGGGAAGAGAGTGGTGTTAAAGAAGTGTGTTCACCCCGAAAGATGATCCGTTCATGGTGATGTGTTATATATTTTCTCTTTCACAAGACAAACAGGACTGTGGCAGGTGTGTTAAATGGCCCTGACCCTTTCCATATTCCTGTTTTAACTAAGGCGTGACGTGCAAATAGTGAGGAAATTCAAGTTCAACATAGCAAAGAGAGGTAAAGTACACCACCATTGAGAAGCTTCTTCGAGCTCCGCTCTGAACAAATGGGCGGAACCTCACGATCTGCCCTAAACGCAGATTTGACCCCCCACTGGGGCGCACTACATTTGCCCAGTCTCCTTTTTACGGCCATCACACATTGGAATATGCTTCCAGCTGATCTTAACCATAGACTGTATATATCTTAACATGTATTTTGGGAAACCAGTCTTGCCAACATTAATTTTACTGTAATTTGAGATGTTAGTTTAAATAAATTGTCAAATGATATTTATATAGATCTGTATTTTGATCTGTTTTAATTGATAGTGTTATAGGCACTATGACATGTTTGAATGTGTGTTGATTGTTATGTGTGCTCCTGACTGCAGATGGAAATGAGCTTTTAGCTATAATCTGGAATATAGCATCTCTGTACACAATGTATTTGTATGCACGGTCCTTGTTCAATAAATACATATTATAATAATGAAAACAACAGTTTGGCAGTTGTCTCTTTCTAGAAAAAAACCCACTCCTTCCTGATCTTGGGAATGAAGCACAGGCGAACAGCGTGGTGACATTACACGTGATGATTGGATCCATGAATCCATTCATCATCCTGCTGCTCTTTCTGTGTGTCTGCGCTCGGTTCCATCTCATCAGGGTGTTATTCAAATCTGGATGACGGATGTGTTTGGATGGAGAGCATGCTGCTGGTTTCATACCCGAGCAGGGCTCATGTTCATTAGCTTAATTTTCTGGAAAGAAAATATTCTAAATGTTTTCCTGGCCTAGCTGAATCAGTTAGAGAAGTTAATATCTCGGCTGTCAATCAAAGCCATTAAGAAAACGCTGCCAAGACACCAGATGGTTACAGCTTTCATAGCTTTGTGTACCGACCTCAGACTATCAGCAACTTCTTTCGTTTGTTCCTGAAGTTGCTACATAAACCATTAAGATTCCAAAATAATTTAAAAAACAAGATAGGCAAAACTTTATCACCTTGGTGCCTAGCTCTCATTAACTGCTGTTTATGAGGCAGATACTATCTATCTATGCACGAGAATTCCTAATCTATAACCCTGAACTTTAGTTAAGGAGGAAGATGTGGAAGAGGGCTTTAGATAGGAAACACCTGTCAGGAAACAAGAGAAGAAGCAGTAGAAGTTTGGGGTTGATAATTAGTCACAGAGTTTGTTAGTAGGCTGACTGAAGTGTACCCGCAGCTGAGCAGTGAAGGCAAGTGAATAAGTGCTTATTCAAAGTTGTACTCGTTGTGAACAACACAATAAAGTTGCGACGAGTGAAGAAACCCAACCGGTGTCCGCACTATCTCTGGCTGCAACACATACGATTATCCACTTCAATTCATCTCTAGAGTTGATCCTATGTTTGACAGACGCACACAAGCACCAGCCACCCTTTTGATTTACGTTTCACTTTTGTCCAAAACAAAATAGTTAAAAATATTTGAACTGTTGGCAGATCTTGTGTGGTTTAGAAACGTGGACGGGACAGTACATCCTCCTCTCACCCCAGTGTGATGCAGGCCTCGCGCACCACCTGTGAGCGCAGGTCTTTGGCCGACAGCTTGAGTGGAGCCTCCAGGAGACGCAGCTGCTGAGGGAAGCCCTCGTACTCTGTGGCCCCCGCCATCAGGAGAGAACGCACCTTCTTCAGCTGGAAGAGAGACAAAAGCATGCGGAAGTATTCATTACCTGGATTCATGTAATAATAATAATGCATTTGATTTATATAGCGCTTTTCACAACTCAAAGACGCTTTACAGTATGAGGGAGGGTAGACAAACAAGGACAGGCAAACAAGTAAGTAAAAAATAAAAAGGCAGTCAAGAGGAAGTTGATTGAGAGGGGGGGGGGCTTATGGGTAGACAGAGTTGAAAAGATGTGTTTTGAGGCGGGACTGAAAGACTGAGGGACTCAGAGTCACGGAGATCTTGGGGGAGGGAATTCCAGAGCCTAGGAGCTGCCACTGAGAAGGCTCTGTCCCCAAAGCTGCAGAGTGTGGATGTGGGAATGGATAGGAGTCCGGCTGCGGTGGATCTGAGGGACCGTGGGGGTTGATAAGGAGTGAGAAGGTAATACCCTGTGTGTGTGTGTGTGTGTGTGTGTGTGTGTGTGTGTGTGTGTGTGTGTGTGTGTGTGTGTGTGTGTGTGTGTGTGTGTGTGTGTGTGTGTGTGTGTGTGTGTGTGTGTGTGTGTGTGTGTGGTGTGTGTGTGTGTGTGTGTGTGTGAGTCTTACCGCTACAACCCGGTGCTCCCAGTCGTGTTTGTCATCAGAAAGCACTTCTCTGATTTTGGCCAGATGGTCCTCCAGCTCTCTGTTGGAGTAGATCTGGACCCAGAGAGACAGCAGGGACAGTGTTAGAACAAGAATCAGCTATTCTATACTGTACTGTGTATACTTTCAAGGGTAAGGTTCGAGAGAGGGTAGCTCATACAAATGCTCCAAGTCTGTAGCTCAATGTTAAAAACTGTAAAGCCCCATGGCACAAATTAAAATGTGTGATATTGGGCTATATAAATACACTTTGATTGATTGACTAAATGGTGGATGCCAGCTGTGTGTGAGTAAATGCAATTTTGTGAACTTCAATCGGTGGCATAAATAGATGCCTAACAATTGTAATGTGGGTCTTTTTTAGCTGCTACCACGTTAACATACATAGCAAGAAGCGTTTCATTTGTGTTCATTGAATGTGTTTGTGGTCATAGGTGGTTCTTGCATAATGCCTACTTAGTGTGTTAAGATCCCACTAATCAAAAGTGGAATAAAGATGATGTTTGTTCGGAACAATCCAGGATACAACTAATACAGAGAGATCAATTTCAGTTGACAAGAAGCCTATCAGAAACATCATTTTCTGGGTTGCTTCATGTCATAGAAAAACAACTAAATTGCTCATAAAAACTGAGAATCTTTTAACCATCTTCACATAGTTCTAAGTAGAGTCCGTGTTTTTGTTGTAGCTGCATTTCCTTTTCTTTGTTTCCATCAGATTGTGCCTAATTTGCATAGCTTGTCCCTTTGTGGTGACTCCCTATGTTCCCAGTTGGGCAGGGTATAGACGCTGACAGGTGAACCTGCAGTTCACCTGCCACTGCTTGATTGACAGTCTTCCCTCTCTCTTCACAGCATTTCAAAATAAAGGCAAGATATCAGAAAACCTAGTTTCATGCAGTGGTTTGACTTCAAAAAAAGGAAATCAAATCAAAATGCGGCACATTGTGTCAATAGGTGGGATGATAAGCTGTGCAGTCCTGCAGAGCGCAGGGCCCCTGGTTACCCTACACCAGGGGCCACTAGGGTTTCATTTCTTTTGTTACAAAAAGAGTTGCAGCTCATTCCTTAAACAGAAGCCTCAGATTGTTTATAATCAGGGGGAATAGGAAGCGTACATTTCAAGTGTAAATATGTTTTGGGGCTTTTTTTATCAACTAAGATTTGTCTTGAAAATGAGGCTTATTCAAACGTGAATACTGTGTAATATATTCGTACATATATATTTAAGATGTACAATATAAGACAAGCACAAGTTGCATGTGGTGGGGAATACTCCATTTCACTTTCAGAATTTGCTACTGGCCAATAAAAACGGACCACGGGCCGCAGTTGGACCCCGGGCCGTAGTTTGAACATCCCTGCCCTACGTCCATAGTGTGTTTAAATCCATTTTATGACATAATATACTTCCCTGTCAGCCATCTCTGGATTTGACTAACAGAACCAAACAGGCATAGCATACCTGGATTGAGGGCACGTCTTCATAGGCTTTGATGAAATCGTCCTCATCAACAGCACCAGCAGCTGCTTCCTTGCCTTTGAAAAAGAGAAAGAAAAAGAATTGGACCTGAAATTCAACAGCCCTTCTAAAGAAAGATGTAGAGGTTTAGAAAGGTAGAAGGTAGACATGTTACTAGCCAGCCTAATCTGAGTTATCCTTTTTTATTTTGTGTTTTTTGGATTTAATTGTATTGTTCTTTCTTCTTAAGTGTATTTTTTCTTTTAGATTTTTGATGTTTGGTTCGGTCCAATCTTAAAATACCTGTCTAGATCTTTCACATTGTCTTTTTGAGTATTGCGAATGTAAATTAATATTATTTAAAAAATATTTAAATAAGCTTTGACAAAATATGCTATAGGTTTAATATTCTTTGGCTTAATAAAACATTTCCTGAAATAATATGAATGATTGAAGCAGAAGGAAAGTGTTGATCTGACCAAAATGTAGCCAAACATTACTACATCGATTATACAGGAGGTAAAGAGTGTTAACTTTGTTGAACAGTGTGTATCCCTCACTTGTGGGCTTATTTGCGGAGGCTGAGCTGGGTCTTCGCACAGAGCTGATAACCGTCCTCCTGCCACCGGGGGGTGCTTTGGATGATGAAGAGGAGGAGGACCGGCCTCCATCCACTGAGTCTTCATCCTCAAAATTCTTATCTGCAACCACAGAGGGAGAAAAGAGACATTTGATGATGGGATTTTCAAAGTGATGTCTTGATGACTGTGAGCGATATTTCCTGTAAGGATCAATACATCCTTATTCTTCCATCATCCATGAACACATGTTGTTCCTGGTAACGGTTGGGCGGATGGTGAATGCATCATCATTCTGCCAGTCACTGTGTTCCTGACCTCTGCCTCAGGGAAACGGTCCGGTTATGAGCCTGAATCCATTATCCATCCATCCGACATGCCCCCCCCCGGTCACCTGCTCAACAGGACGTTCACACCAAGGTGTAGCCTGGAGCGGAGTGACGGTGCGGGGGGGATTGTTGTCAGCTGAGGCCAGGCAACAACGAGGTCATTGTCTATTTTTTGGAGGACATGTAGGGAAATAATTGATTTAAAAATAAACTTCTCAATCTATTTATTATCATTCCTGCAGATAGGCTTAGTATAAACTGCTGTTAAGGAATAAAGTCTGCTACCATTAGCGGCACATAAACATCAATGGAGTCACATAAGTTGATCAATAATACAAAAGATCACAGAACAGTGATAAGCTCATACACAAAAACCAGCTCCCTAAATGTCCCTGCTGCTACAAGAACCATGACGGTGACACAGCAACTCACAGATTCACAGAGAACACAGGTGGAGGACAGGGACAAAGAGGCAACAGGTTGACACAGGAAAGAGATCCAGACAATTCAGAGCCATGACTGGAAGACGAGACAGACAAAGAGATGGAAATCACTGAGAGCCAAACGGAGAAGAGAGCAGAGAGGGAGGGAAGAAGGAGAGATTAACAAGGCGTCGCTCTTACGGTCGCAGATTTTCTTGCATATCAGCTTCCTCAGCATGTCTCTGCTGCACCCTCTGAGACGCTCCCTCTTCTTCACCACACATCTGCCCAGGGTGTGTGTGTGTGTGTGTGTGTGTGTGTGTGTGTGTGTTCTGCATGTACCTCTGTTACATGCTGGGCTCAGACAAAGTGCCAGACTAACCACCCCTTCAGCCTTTGTCTCTTGAGTTCAGTTATCTGTGTGTGTGTGTGTGTGCGTGCGTGCGTGCGTGTGTGTGTGTGTGCGTGTGTGTGTGTGTGTGTGTCATCCCTGGTGATGCTGTTGGACTGTAGGGACTCTCATGGTGAGAGAGGGAGGGGTCTATTGTTGTACTTAGCCAATACACACACTCATACTACAGCGATAGTAAAAGTGAATATTACTACTGTATTTTATACAAATGTCAATACTGTATCTCAGAGTGAGGTCATTACTGCAGACATGAAAGCAAAGGGACATATATATATATTTATTTTTGTACTATTATGTATATTCAATACAAAGGTGTACGGATAGACTTATTCAGTAATATTTCTAGTGTTTAAAGAGGGACATTCTTACATTTGTAGTCAGTAAGACCTGTTTCAATGAGTTTAACCTCCCTTATGGGTGACACTAAAGTGTATCCGAGGAGGAGGGAGATGTCAACAGCTTTGCATAGACCCTTGGGAGTCTCGCTGCCCAATATAAATATTTCAGTCCCACATAATCGACTTTGCAACATCGGAAAGCTAATCTGATTACACTGGTTCAAGATCTCCGAGTGGAACTATAGTGGGAATAAAAGGATCTTACTAAAGTCTTTGCACTAATAACAAGGCTCTCTGAAACAGTGCCGGTTGGAGCCAGTTGGGTGCAGCTCATGCCAACTGAATCCATGGCTATGTGCAGCCAAAAACACCAATTTCATTGAAACCAATGCAGGCTAATAAACACATATTAAACATGTGTTGCACTGCAGTTGCTGAATTTAAATATAAATCTATTGTATCATATACTCTGTCGGTACTTCATCTAAGCAGGACTCCATACCCTTGCTGTAAAATGACACACCAGTACGACCACAAGCTGAGCAGCCACAGATACCGGTGAAATTGAACTGCCCTAAAAGTGTTACAAAACTAATGGAGGTGCAGTCTGTACGCTCCAAAGTGTCAATGCAAATACAGCATGTAAAACACCAAATAAAAGTAAGAACCTGAAATGAGCAGAACCCATTAAATACTTGAATGCACGCTTGTTGCTTAGATACTATCCTGGCCACTAAAATCTGTTATCCATCAGAATTGAGTTTGAAATTGAAGAACCTGAACAAATCCTTGAAATGCTACTAGAGCTATTTGCTTTAATAAGGGTCACAGTGGTGATATTGGTGCAATCTTAGTGAGAACGTTTTGAAGCCAAATGAAATAGAACATAATAAAAACTAAAACGTGATCGTTAAATCTAAGATAGCAAAACTAGCTGGGGGCCAAAAGTGGACTGAACAGCCCTTTGTCCCTCAAACTACTGCTAGTGGTTCTGTGCAGCACACAAGTCGATCTGAAACGTGTCAAATGAATACATCAAGTAGAATAAAGGGAACATCCCTCCCAGCCACAGAGCAGCTCTAAGGAAAAGGCTGTCTTTTCATTCAACCTAAAACTGTTGGAGCTATTTATTGATTTTGTATTAATTAATACTCTTAACATTCATTTGTAGCAGTTTTTGTTTATAATAAATGTAGAATTATTTATTGCAATTATTTGAGTTACATTAAAGTAATTGTTTGTCTTTTTATTTTGACGGCAGTTTTGGGCACCGTGTGATTTAGGAACGTGGTGATATGTATATGTTGGAGGAGGCTGGGGGTGGGATAGGCTGTATATATAAAGGGTGGGATCAGCGCACCAGAACAATTATAGGAAAGGCTGCAGGACAACCATACCTGAAATCCTTTATCATAGTACAAACACAAACATATGAAGAGGAGCTAACTGCCTGATCTCCGATGCTACAAAGAGCACATCAACAGAGAAGTATTGATCACAGACAGTGTGTACACACACACACACACACACACACACACACACACACACACACACACACACACACACACACACACACACACACACACACACACACACACACACACACACACACACACACACACACACACACACACACACACACACACACACACACACACACACACACACACACACACACACACACACACACACACACACACACACACACACACACACACACACACACACACACACACACACACACCACTTCAGGGGACATTGCATTGACTAACATGCATGTCCTGGAGACTTATCCTAACCTTAACCATAACCAACACATGCCTAACCCTAACCCTTAACCTTACCCTAACCAAGTCTTCACCCTAAAATGAATGATTCCCCTCATGGGGACCTCCATTTTGTCCCCATAAGGGAGGCGAGTCCCCACACGTGACTGTGAAAACAGATTTAGGTCCCCACAAGTATAGTAATGCTAGGCCACACACACACACGGTCAGGTCCATTGAGGGATGCAGCATGTGCTCCCTCCTGTGAGCACTAGGGGTCAGGCCACACTGCGACACATAGAGCAGGCAGAGTTGCTGAAGCTGACATCAGCAGTCACCAGTAATCTGTCTCTGACACACATTATATAACACGGAGGGTTTCTCCCCGCTCTGTACCCTTTAGAAAACAATAAAAGCACAAAGTCAGGAGAGATTACCACAACGTTTAGGATGGTAAGGTTTGTGGGATGGGGGAGCCTCTTAATAATAATATGGACTGCCTGACAGGGAGGGTGAGACAGAGGGAGGGGGGTGTCCTTCATCTCTTCTTTCACCTCTGAGCCTGTCCATCACAGGCTGCAGGGTTACGTCAGAGACAGATGACCAGTGATCAGTGTTACATCATAACATGGATGTGTTGTTTTGCTGAGCAAGCAGAGAGGCTGCTGACAGGGCAGACCTGATGAAGCTAACATTACTAGCACTTCTGATTGTTTTTGGTCTCGTTGTATGTTCTCCTACACCAAGCACTCCACATGAGATGCATTCCTTCTACCTGTTCATCGTGACAGGTGTGTCAGAGATGTAAACTGTGGCTGCTGTCTGATGAGGAACTCTGTATTGAGAGGACGTTATTTGCTTTTCAAATAGACCTAGATTTATTTGACTTGTGGTCCTTAACACTACAGCGGAAATTTGAATAAGAATAGGATATACGTCGACGTCATTGATGCCGGGGAAAGTGCTTTTCAGCTTCTTGAATGTGGATCATATTTCTTGCATCATATTTAATTGAATACCTTTGAGTTTGGAACTGACGCAACTTTACATTGAAACACTCCCAATTGGAATAGAAATGATTGTTGCAGCCATACTCAACACCTATACCTCCCAAGAAGCAAAGAGATAGGAAGGCAGGCTTTGAATGGTTGTAGGGTGCAAATTCATCTTCTGACCGAGGCTGCAATCATAAAGTCAAAAATAATCTGTCCCAAGGAAATGCTGAGTCACAGCAGAGCACCCAAAGGCGAAATGCGTCATTTTTCCTTTGTGGATCAGTCGATGTGTTTGCTGGAATAAGGAGGAACGATCATGACACAAGCAGCAACAATGTCCAATAAGCATCTATCCTTGTAACACTCAGCTGTACATCAGCAACCAGAGAATAATGAGGAGCACTGCCAATCCTGAATATAGTGTATTATATTTAACAGCAACAGCCTTTTTGCCCTCATTAATAACTGCAAACGTTTATTTTCCTTCTGCATCAGTAGAAAAAGAAATCCTTGTTATCAACACAACACAAAGTTCATACATATTCCATTTCCGGTAGAAAAAAGAAAGGAAATGCAATCTTTCCAATATACTGCGCTGAAAACCGTCCCTGATTGTGGGGTTGATATGTCACAGCAGACAGAGAACACATTATTGTAGCCTGTCTTGTTGTGAGGACAATGAGCTGGCTGTCCCACTCAGATTACAATGAAGTGTGAGACGAGCAACAGAAGCAGAGAATGGACTTGTAGAGTTCTCAGTGGCCATGTAAGCCCACAACGCTCTTCCTCACAACTTCCTCTCATTCTGCTCCTCATGCAATCTCCTACAGCTTTCATCAAATAAGGAAGGTGTAGAGCAGG